TGTGATCTTCTTTCCTTCGCTCCTTAGAGTAGAATCTTCGTCGATAGCACCTAATCGAGGTCTCTACCAATGCGATGCAACCCAGGTCGTGACAGCGTAGACAGAATTCTGCTCTGGTGGCACCATCCATAGACTCCAGTCCGAAAGTACATATATAAACCAATATATTCAGCTTGAATGGTTGACACTACGAGTGATGTCGCATCTTTTACCTTTATTGCTTCTATAGATACAAGTACGACTGGGAAGAACCAGTCAAATTAATGCTTCCAGCGTGCTTGCCCCATGTTTGGCGTTTAATAGGAGGATTTATTCACATATTGCATTTACCGAGTAGCGCTGAAGTCCTGTAAAACTAGCATAGACAGGATTCTGCTCCCACGGGATGTTGATAATAGGTGGCTGACGGAATGCGACCAAGAATGCACGGACCATAGTGACGAATATATATAAACGCCTCGCCTTGACCAGGGTCGGTTGCCTATATCACTAAGCTAACATAAGAAGAACCAGGTATAGAGCAGTTATCCTACGAGATATAGCGTGAAGGAGAGGGGAAAGCTGCGGTCGCAGCTTCCACCATTCAACGGCGATCTCAGGCGGCGTTGCTCTGCGATTTCCTGTGCTTGGTCACCTAGTGAGGTTACCTGGACAGACAATGGGCTAGAAGTTATGTCGGGGGCATCCTATAATGTACAGCCTCTGATAATCAGCTGCAACCGGCTAGCCTGGAATGAGCCCATAGTAACAGGCGAGGATAAGAGGTACACCTACGCAAGAACCGTGTCGATTTCCGCTGAAGTTAATATTGAGCCGCAGCGCCAGTTCGTAACAATCTTCGGGGTCAGGGCGCACAGCTAAGAACGCTGCGGTGAGCCTAGTTCCAGTCCCCATCCTATCTACTGGACGAGCCTTTCACTTCACGCGTTCAGCGTTTCACACCACTAACCTATGTCCTTTAGACCGAAATCATCATTCCATAAGATGGGGAACTGCCGTTGCCCAGAGCCTCAATATGCCACACCCGCGAGGCTGAGATACGGAAGGATAATTGGTCTTGGGTTGGGCAGCCTCGTGGATGCGTCGCAATGGATTTTTCCGCCTGCCACAATTCCCAGAAGCATTACGAAATGTTGACGACATGTCAAATATCCGTCGATCTCAAGGGAAGTGGCCACTCGATACTTTACTAACCGCAACATCGGTCAAGTTCCACGCCACAGATCAGAGGGACAAGGTATACGAACTTTTGGGCATCGCTGCGGAGACTCATGATCCTCTGAACAAACCCACGCCACTGCAACCTGACTATCACCTAAGCATAGAGCAAGTATATCTACGCACTGCATGACATTTGTTACAGACAAATCAATCACTTGCCATTCTCATTCGTACGAGATGTTCGTCGCTGTATACAAGTCAGTCACACCATACATACGACTTGACACATCTGCCTACATGGGTGCGACTGGAGGGACTTCAATTTATCTGACCGCGATATCATGAAGAGCCTATCTTGGTTAACCTATTCGCAAACATTGGAGCCAGTCACCCTAGGCTTTCCAAAACACTGTACAGCTTCAGCTGGGTGTCCGATGGCAATATGACCATCGGCTGACGAGAATGTACTCCGACTTGCCGGCATCAAATTCGACATGATCTCGCACAGTTTTCCGTTCAACAACCCCAGTCAGTCTAATAGAGATTTTATTGAGGGCTTTGCGTCTGTATCTTTGCATGTCCTCGAATGCGTGGTCCCCCTGCTTGGGAAAAGGGGCGTAATGATATGGGCTACGGAATATATTCGGACCACCACTGCGGAGCAGTATCATTCAAGTGGGCACAGTTGTGAGCAGCTACTCAAGGACGAAGCTGCATTTATTCTTGAGCTCCTGTCAAAATGTGATCCTTTACGCTCGACTTTCATTCTTGAAAGTGGTGAGCCGAATGCCATGAGTATATTGGAGGACCTTTCTACTGGGGGAAGCGCCATGAGCTATGCGGCTGCAGGCAGACCGGCTTACGAGGCTAATACTAGATATATCGGTTTCGCTCTTACATACTGTCGAGCCCGCCGCCTACGCCAACTCGTAGCGCATAGGGCCGTACGCTCTATCGGACTCCAGACACAAGAACTGTGCGATTCCATATCTAATTCAACTTCTCCTGTTACCGAGGTATGATACGTTGGTCCAGCACGCCGTCCTTCTATAGGTGTGGGAGGTAGTCGACCCCCTTCGCTAAGGATGGCCGGTCGAGCAGCTCTTCGGCAGCCCGGTACCCGGCCTTGAATGCGTCATCACCAAGGATGCGGGCTATAAGATAATTCAGGAGGCAGAACGTCTGACATGGTATAAAAGTGAAGCTAAGCTCAACCCTATAACGTACATAACGCGGTCAGGTAACAGAAAGCCGTGGCAAAATAGCAGGACAGGTAAAGGCCAAGGCATACTTGCCATGTTAAGTGCGATACATATTCTTCCTACGCTTATTATGAATAATCAGGATCATAGCGACGAGTTTAGTACACGACCCATCATCAGGGTCTCGGCCCAGCGCGACTCGAGCTTACGTGTGAGGTAAGCCTAACACTACGCCGGGTCTAAAGCCGCCGGTACCAACCATGAGCACGAAAGAAAAAAGGGGGTTCGCGTCGTAGGGTCGAGGGGATATCTAGCGATCGTATCCACAGCCTGCCAAGAAATAGCATGATACCTTCAAGCGTTACCTCTTGCTTGAGGAACAGCTGTTTAGTCGTAAGTTTAAATCATACGGCCATAGGTCCTGCTATCCACTACAAGGTATAGTTAGACGCCGAATTAATCCACACCTACCAGCGTACTAGGCGGGCTCGATGTACGGTAGATATTTCTGCGCAAAAGAAAGGGTCTATTGTCGGCGATTCTCAGGATTCTCTTTTCTCTTTCGTCATAGCACATTGTTCGGCCTCGACGACCAAGCAATTCCAAATCTCTGTTAGGATAATAGCAGAAGTAACGGCCCGCTTCCATTCGTGCTCGTCCGGCCCTAGGCACGCCTCCCACCTGCCTAAGTTCGTCACATAGTACTGCAGAAAGACTGCCACGTGTTTTCGCGGTTTCATCATCACCGCGGCACAGGCGGAGTCACAGGCCGTCTATGTCTATTCGTTACATCGTGCAGACGTTAGTCAAGAACCTGCAATGTGCGAGGTAAGCAATGGTTCGGTGCGTGAATCCGTTACGCCAAATCGATTCCAAATGCGCATAACGCGCTCCCTTTCAGTCTTATTCGAGACCGAAACCTCTCGCATATCACAAAAAGGCAACGAAGCGAATCCTTCGAGATCCTCAAGGGCATCAGCCGAGGACCTTACTTGGGCAAGCGGCCTCTTCCCGGCATATCATTCTTTTTAACGCTAGTGGAAGAACGATTGGAAGACGAAAAGAGTGGCTAGATGGAGTTTAAAGAAGAAAAGGAAAAATAGAGAGAGGAAAACGAAAGAGAACGAGAGAGAAAGAATGAGAGGAAAACGAGAGAGGGTGGCGGCCATTTTGCCGAGATCGAGAAGCATTCTATGCTTTAGGCCGATAGGGACCTAAGTCGCTCTATGACCAATCGAGCCATAGTTAAAGAAAGGATGCTACAGGGCTGAAACGGTCTTGTTTTCAGAATACAGAAAACGTCAAATGGCCGATGTGGAAGCGTTTCTGTCGAGAGAAACGGAGAGGAGGTTTGGTGAATTGAAGCGGCCGCGGCGCCAGCCTTAATCAGTCAGCCGGTTCACGCGGGGGAAGCGTTCCTGGAGATTCCACGCCCTAGTAAACCATTGGGGGTTTTCAAAGTCATTTCCTGGTGGATGGCGCAATTTTCGAGGGTCATACAACTCAATGACTTCGTGGCCGAGCTGAGCATCGATATCGTCATAGCCAGGGCCACAGGTTACATCGTCCAGATACGCTATAGACCATAGAGGCCTTATACCAGGCGTACATTGAGTTTATAGCTTCCGCTAGCACTGCTGAGCCCGATTTATCGATGCAAGTGGTATCAACCCAGAGACACCTGCCCAGCCGTGAGATAAAATGGCGTAAGCTGATGGGTCGACGATATATTCCTTCAACTCGTAGGTTTCAGTGGATAAGTTGCCTGGTGGGAAACGTGGGGTGTGGAAGTAGATACCACGATCCCAGCCACAGTTTCTAAAAATACAGGTCAAATTGGGGATGGAGGATCTCGCAAAACTTGGGATTTCATGATAAGCGACATCTGAGTGGGGGATGCACAAATATATCTCAAGTATCCCATTGGTCGGTCACATCTGGCCGCAAGTCCAACGACAGGAAACTGGGCTGGTAGAATCTTCCGTGTAACGTAGAACATGCATAGTATGCGGGCTGTACCACGTTCGTTTCAGTGGGCACCCTTGGGCCTCCAATCAGCAGCGTGTCGAATGCTGTTAACCACTGACATGCGGTGCTCATGGCTGGGTCGTTGATGCTCCTTGGCGTTGGTGAGAAGTTCCTGGATGGAGGGCTACCTTCTAGATAACGTCTCGTTGTTGTGCATTGTTCAAATTGTTCTCCTGAACAGTTCTCAACGACTATAATTTCATATAACCTTTGCTGTGAAAGTGTAGGAAGTTGTGGCCTCAGGTGTGGAGGGCTACAAGGCAGGCAGGCACCGTTGTAGTATTTAGGGACCCCTCAGGGCGAAGTTGGGATGGGTCCCTCAGGCACCTTCATAGTACCAATACAGCCCATGGTACGTGGATTCCGATAGAAAGCATATAATAAAACGTTATTGGTGGTTGTGAAAACTGCTTCCAATGTTCCAGCGGACAACCCCGCATAATGACTGCATTGCAAATACCCCACCATCCGCCAAGTTTCACCAACTTCAGACTTTCGTATCCAAACCAATCTTTCTTGCGCTCCTCACATCTTCTACTTACGCCTGGACCAAAGCACCGGGAGCCTAACCCTTCGCAAATCCCCCTTCCCCGTGAACTACGACCAAACATGTCCCAACCAACCCTAACAGTGACCTACTCCTCCCCGACCAACGCCCCCTTCTCCCACACCACACCCCTCTCAGCAATCGCAACTGCGGACAAAACCACCCACCTCAACTCCCTCCGCGCTGCCATAACCGACCTCCAAACCAGAATCAACACCGAGCTAACGCAGCGCATGGACGAAGACAAGATTGCCGCGGAACAATTGAAGGAGGGGCAAGTGGAGGAGGCGCAGCATAAGGTGAAGAGGGCTAAGAGCGAGAAAGTGGATGAGGATGCTGAGGAGGAAAATTATGGAGAGGAGGTTGTGGAGGAGGACTGAAGGGGTGTACTAGGGATTGGAATTGGGATTGATGTGATGAGGCAACAGACGGATGGCTGATTTGGTCGGGTGGAATATGACGACTCGACACGACGTTACATTGCCTGTACGAGATATCGGCGAGCCACGATACGCGGAAGACGCAGAAGAACAATTAGGCTGTGGACGAAACCTCCGGGGGAGAGTACAGCAGCGCCATACACATACGCGCCGACATCCCGAATACCTTCGCGTTCACTTCTTCGCAGTTTCTCGATACCCACCTCCACAACCCAACGACCAAAAACACCTTCGCAGTACCTGCATAGTTACGATGCAACCGGTGAGACACTCGACGACGACCATATGTACAGTTTGAACGAGCCCCATCGAGTCAGACGGCAGCAACACATGAAGTTTGAGCGCGATTGGACTGGGAACGGGACACTGAGGGATACAGTATCCTGAGAGGTAAAACCGTGAACGATCCGGGGCAGAATGCAGATGCGCGCCGTGGTCTTGGGGGGGGATCTAGAGTTGAGACTAGAGTATGCAGCGATTGCAGTAACGGTCATCCCTTCACGGATGGAATTCAAGGACTAGACTAAGGGTACTACTCCATGATGGGATGCCAACAAATGCGCAATCCAAAAGCGAAGCTAGCTACTTGTATTCATTTTGCGACGCACCGGAATTGCCCAACGTCTGCCCAACTTCCCTCACGTTTTACATCAACAAACACTGAATCATGCATGACCTGCAAACCTCCCTAAGCACACCAACTGGCCATGCATTACTATGTCATGTGTCTGCAGCAACTCCCTTCCCTAGCCGCTACTGTATATACTCCTTCTCATCCACTTTTCCAACTCCTTACGAACTCCTCCCCCAAGCCCCAGCGACTCTCCCTCTCGTCCCCGACACACTCCTCCCCAACCCCGCCCCCTTCCCACTTCGTCCTAAACAAGCATAATGCACCACCCCGTTGTTCGGCAGTACAGCCACGACGCTATTCCCGAGCCTCTTGTGGCAAACGCTGCACACCCGCTCCTCTTCAATGACGACGCGTCGGTTCCTGCCGGCCTGGCCGCCGGGCAGTCCGTCCCCAAGAAGCAAGGACGCCTGTGTGTTGACGAGCATAGTCTTGCGTAGTCCCTCTAAGATACGGGTCTCTGCCAGTTTCGAGTTGGCGGCCCGTATACGGCCGCGAAAGTACGACTCCAGGTTATCAACAGGTAGCGAATCGGGGATGAGGGACAGGGTTGAGGTGGCTGGAAGGCGTGAGCCGTGTTTCGAAAGGAGATCTAGGGCTGGCTCTTGGTTGGGCTCGTAAGGATGCGGCGGGGTCAAGTACAAGGAGAGGAGAGTGTGGTATATCGAAGGTGTGGCCTCCGGGTCATCTTGGTCAGTAGCTTGGCTCAGGGGTTGAGCATAAGACGATGGTGGCCGGGTCCTTTGGTGTAGTGTATTCGGCGAAGATGGCGCAGTGATGGATGTCTCTGATTGCAACTTATGGACGCGGTTGCAGTATCTGAAAATGTTAGTTGCTGACGAAGGGTGCAGAAGGCCGGTTCGGAGAAAATGACTTACTCTTCGGCTTTGGCGTAGTCTTTCATTTTGAACACGTATATCGCCAGCGCTTGGTTGTGTTGCTCCATGTTGCTAAGCACCACTGCTTGTGCCTCGTAGAATGCAGGATCTGTGTGGTCTTATTAGCCTTCCGCACCTCACATTATGTCATATCCGACATGGGACAGGTTTTTGGACCGGCCCAAAGCAAACATCAACTCCGAGCGAACTTACCTTCCCTGGGAATGAGCTCAAAAGCCCGACCAAGGCTGTACTGCTTGCTCTCCCTCAAGAAGTTGACCAATCGCCCCATCCACTTCATCCAATCATCGGTCCTCTTGTCACCAGCGGCTTGATGGTCGCCATCCTTCTCAGATTCTGTGTCCTTCAATTTCGTAACGAGCAATTCAACCAATCGATTGTGGAAATCTGGCGTTGCGTCTTCGAGTTCATCGATGATGTAGTCCAGGTAACGCATTTCGAGTACACCGTCTACGAGGTCCTCATCAATATGGGCCAAGTATCTAACGACCTGCTCCCGGGGTAGCGTCTCGGCATTCTCGGTATCGGCAATGAAGACCCCCATGCCCATATCCGGATTGCGATGAAGAACCCAGTCGGCGAATTCAAAAATCAGGTCGATCAGGTCTGGCGGAAGGGATTGTAGGTATATGATGGTGCGCTGAGGGCCGCGGAGCTGCTCGGGGATTTCTGATACCGGAATGTCAACGTCTAGATCCGTTGCCTCGTCGTGGTCCTTCCCATTATACACATGGTCGCCGTTGTCTTTCTCCTCGTCCCTCTCATCCGTTTGTGCCAGGATCTTAGGCTTCCACCATTTACGCTTCCTTTTCTTTTCGCCCCCCTCCTCGTCTCTGTCGTCTTCATCCGCAGTACCGAACTTCCTCAAGAGAGTCAGTGCCTCACGATGCAATTTCTTACCGTAGAAGAAATCGACCAGCTCATTAAATCTCCTACTCTCCAAAAGTCTCTCATTGACAACCTTCGGGTCGCAGAAGTTGGGGATTCGGAAGAGGGAACCAGCTAGCTTCGGCTGGCTGAACATGTACGCGCGGAACAGCGTGGTGTCAACCAAGGTAAACGTTGCCCGCAGTTCATCCTCGAGATGCTTATCCGAATCGACCTGACTTGTCAAAAGGGAGGTGAAGGGGTCGTCCGGTGCTGAAGAAGGTTGTGAGGTTGAGGAAGACTGCCGTTTCAGTTGTCCTGTCGCTGGATCTATGACGCGCTGTAAACGAGCACGAGTACCAGCCAGGTACGAGTTCAAGGCGCGGACCGCTGTCATGAGGTCTTTTCCCTCGAGTAATCCGTCTTCAGTCGATGCAGGAGGTTTGGGAGCAATGACACTGGCAGCATCGCAATCATCTTTTTCTTTGTCCGCTTTCTTGGACGAAGAAATGGATGCTGTGTCCGAGTCTGCTTTGCGGGTGTAACCACCAGCCATGGGCCAATACCTGGAGAACCCGCCTGCTTTTTGAGGCGAGGCAGCTTCGACCATATCGCTTTTGGCACTTGAAATTTTCTCCCCGTTGGTCTTGCCCTCTTCCTCGTGCTGTGGCGGTTCCGGCTCCGGCTCCTGTGGTTCTTGCTCGGGCGTCCCTTCCCTGGATTCGGCTTTCTTGCCTTCGTTCGACAGCTCGCCGGCGATCATTGGCGGGTATAACCTGAGTACACGTTCAGGTGGCGCATGCACCTCGTCTTCATTGAACAGGTCCAAGCTATCGAAATATTTCTTGGCCTTGAATAGCTCCTCGGCCTTCAACATCTTGACCTCGCGCATTGTGCCCGTCTTGTCATTCAGCAGTGCATCCTCAAGCATTCCAAGGACGCTGATGGCTTCATCGTACAGCCTTTGCGCGATCAGCTCGGCCACTTGCGTATCGTAGTCGGTGGCATCCATCTTCCACACCACTCTCTCGCTGCTGATGTGAAAGCCTTTCGCAGCGTGGACAAGACTGAGTGTCGGTGGGGCGAAATGCAATTGTGCAGCACCGGCCAGGTTGAGCGTCTGTAGAAGTGATAAAGTCTCGGGATTGCGCACCTCTAGCGACCCCTTGGCCGGCGGCTGAAGAGCCAGTATGTAGGGATAGTTGTATCCAATACCCTCGGGCGCACTCTGCCATGGAATCTGGCGCTTCTCCAACGGCTTGCCCTCGATATCGATGAACAGGGAGTTGATGTCCTTGGCGAGGAGCATCTCACCCTCGGCCAGCTTTACAGCCAACGGTTTCGGCATGTAGCCACCAAGTCCCATATAACCCATGCTTGCAGCACCAAATCTGCTCCCCTGTCCACCTGTTGCCGCTGCGCCCGTTCCGTTGATTTCAGTGATTGAACGAGTCTCGACGTCAACCAGGACGTAGCCCGCATTCATACCGCAAACGATCTTGGTTGCGCTTGCCCACGTCACACACCGCACCGCTTCGGGCAGCATGATCTCGCCCACATCGTCGCCCAGCTCGCTCGCATGCCAGCTCCATAGCAGCAGCCTCCGTTTGACCGCCACGGCCAGCCGGCTGATGATCTCTGGTATGCCTGTGGCTGCGTCCTTGACGATGTTGCTCGTGACGGCGAAACAGCTCGCATTCTTGGTGCGCGATAGTGTCTCGATCGGTTCGTAGGTATGCAAGTCATGTAGCGAGACATGGTATGCGGACAAGGAAACCAGCGTGTTCGCTTCTTTGATTATGGCTAGTTGCTCGATAGCCCGCGTAGAGAACTTTTCGACTTCGCGAAGGAGGTCGCTTGGATTGGTTGACGGTGGGGCCGCCTTGGTGGTTGGGCTGGATGATGCATTTGGCGGGCTTGCAGGAACATCGTTGCCGCGGCCGTTACCGCTACTGCCACCGTTGGGCCGCTTCGAGTCGGGAGAGGCAACGCTGTTGACGCGGTAAATGCGCAGGGAGCCGGTGTTCAGGCCGACGAGGAGGCGGTCGCCATGGGCGAGGATGGTCTCGATTTTGGACTTGTCGCGCTGCTTGAGCTCGATGATCGGCCGAGCTGTGAAGGCAGAGAGCATGGCGCTTGCCAGCTCGGAGAATTCTCCGATCCTCTAGCTGGGTGGAGATATCATTAGACGTGCGGTCGGATTTGCTAAAACATGAGGGTGGACTGCGTCAATGCCCAAGTACTGAAGTCCTATGGTTGTTTGTGCTTTGGTGGTAGTGGCATTCGAGGTTGTTGAGTCGGAATTGGAGGTGTCATTTGACCTACAATTGCAGCGGTCCGGTTTGGAGCTTGGGCGGCAACGCACACCTCCGCGATGATGGCATACCTCGATAGTCTACGATCTGATTGGTCGCTTCCCAACGGCACACTCCCATACTTTGACCCTTGCGCATCGCAGGCTCCAAGCTCGTGTCAATCAGTACGTTAGGCAATTCTAAGCAATTTGTTTCGGCGCTTGCTTCTTCATGGGAAACGCTGCTCTTTCTAGTAGCATGGTATTGTTCGTAAACAAAGTCCATCCCTGTAGCCTACCCTGACCTTTGCATTTAATATAGGCGACTTGCAGCTTTCAGCTGCCTCCAGGCAACTACGAATCTTCCACTGTGATGATGTCGTCTATTTAGGCGTGGATCAGCAAAATAGGCGAGGTATGCTGGCTGTAGTTGAAGTTGAAGACGGATACTGTTGGGGTTAGGGTCCAGCCTCCTTCAACTCACTTCACATATTATCACAAAGTAGCATAGAAAAGCTCCAGACTAGTATACTTTTCATCTCCACACGGGTAAGTTTTCGTTGTATAGCTGAGCATGCCTTGCGAACTCACATACAACTTGCAGGTTTAAGCTGAATCGTCATGCCAACAGCTAGCTCGGGGCGCTTTTGAGTCGTTCGGCATATGACGCCAATGCTTGATATGTATGATATTTCGCTCATCGATTCCTGAACTTGACCATGTGTTCATGCTGTCTACCAGTCATCTTTGCTCTGAATCATTGCAGACATTGATATAGCCCAGTGTCTTGCTTCAACTTTCAGGTACCTTTGCTCTGTAGTTCTCGCAGAGCTAGTGACACGAAATGTAAGAAACCAATGAAAGTGTTCCATCAACCTCACAAAGTTTATTTTTACTGCCCTAAAATGTATTTTGCTAATAGGCACAAGTGTTCGTTCTCTGTTCTCTAAGCATTCTATACAATAATTTCTCTTGCGTTCTCGTGCGTTTGTGTCGTCCGACACGCTTATTCCAACTTGTCGATTTTCCCTCCACACCAGATTTCCGCAACGAAGCAGAAATTCCACATTTGAGATTACCATTGTGCGCATGGCGTCTTTAAATCCATTGCCAATGAAGCCAAAGATGGAGACCCAACTCGCCACATGTTGTGTAGTAAGCCTGCTGGGTCTCATCGTCATCGCGCTTCGACTTCTGGTCCGAAGGCTTACAATGGTTGGCCTGGGCTGGGACGATGGCCTCATATTTGTTGCGTCTTTTCTGGAAAATGGGTTACTTGTCATGCTCGGTTTCTGTAACTAATCTTCTGGCTTGACAGACCAATTATTCTGCCCAAAGATGTACTAGTAGTAACAGCACCACTGCAGTTTCCATTGGGAACCAGGGTGCTATGTGAATAACCAGGCATCAAATTCACCAGCGCTACTATAGTTGAGTCCCTATCTGGTTCTGCCTCCGCATCTTCAGTATCCGTAACATACAACGAGCAACCGTGATGGCCATGGTTTTGGTTGGTGCGTGGTCGTTTGGATCTTACTCTGGGCCTTCCCCATGTCCCCGGCCTTTTCAGCTTACTTGGATCCCACACTTCTAGGCTACTGCGCCAATCGGAAGAACATGTATCACTCCGTGTGGCTCTACAACATCTCTACTGGCGTCCTCACTCTTCTGTTGCCAATGCCAATCGGTTGGGGGCAGAACATGAGTTTCGGGAAAAGGAATGCTGTTACTATTTACATTTCGTCTGGATTATGATTAGTACCATCCCCCACCACCCTTTTGCTAACCCCTACCTTTCGTTCAGGTAAAATTGCCCGTCTCACACAAATCTAGGAATCTAAAACTTTATAACGAGGATTGAAACGGGGTCAGGCGGTCGGTAGGATGTACCCACTACCTAACACACTGGCAAAGCGGCTCCAGTACCAACAGATCCCATCTGTTGGTCTGATCAGACGAAAATCATGGCGATGGACGCTAGAGCGAAGCTCCTACTGTAACGGGGTAAGGCCGGACATCAGGGAAATAGGTTACGGGGCTAGGAGAAAGTTTATTTTCTCTTCTTTAAGAGGCACAGAGGCAGAGTAAGACACGAGTCCCCCATCTTCACACATCATCATCCTCATCTTTATCTATATCTTTACCTTCACCTTTCAGTCAGTTATTTAGTTATTTTAGTTATTCAGCTTATCTTTACGTTCGAGATCCTATTATCACGATACGAGTCTCAGAGGCACATCCAACCAACTCGCGCACCAGACGTGTAAGAGCTTCACTCTTATAACCAGTACCACGATCTTCGTCTGATAAGACCACCAGATGGGATCTGTTGGTACTGGAGCCGTCTGTTCAGTGTGTTAGGTGGTAGGTATATCCTACTGACCGCCTGAACCCGTTTCACTACAAGCCTTGGGCGCGAGTTGGTCGGATGTGCCCTCTTGTATTCAGCGAAGGGGCGATCCTCAGAATAGGACTCTTGACTCCGGGAGTTGAAGCACAGCTGCCAGTGGCGTTGAATTGCTTTAATCAGAGCAAAACACAATTCCTTGTAGTTGTCAAGGCTAAAGTGGAAGAGATGGATGGATTCTTGAAAACTATGCCTGAACGTGTAAGTGAATTATGAACCGAAGCTTTGAATTGGACACCCTACAAAAGAGCACGGTAACTGTTGACTGTGTAAGAAAGGAGGTAATAAAAGAGATGATTAAAGGGAGTGTTGGGAAGAAACTGCAGCCACAAGCCCCCTGAAGAAAGCAAAAGATCCTCCCCGCTCCGTCACCTATTTTCCTGGCGTCCGGCCTTACCCCACTACAGAATGTGTATGATGTCAAGGGTTTCTACATATTTTAGCTTATGTGAAGATATTTTACTAAGCAATTAGTGGTGATACTTAACTAAGTTATGTTAGAACCCGTAGTTTTTGGCCGGCAAGAACCTAGCATTGAAAAACCTAAACCTACTTAAAAGAACAAAACGCCATACTTTACAGGACTTGAACTACAACGAATATACTCAATAAAGAAAACGATATTAGTAATTCTAAGTTAATGCTATAATTATTAACTGTCGAGTCCTTTGATAATATTTATCTAGCTTGGATAAATGTTCCATGGAAGTTGTCACGGCCCTGGAGGTGGCTTACCGGATGATGGATTTGCCGACCCTTTGGGCAGGACCTTTTGACTTTCTCTCCTCACGGTACAACACAGTACGATAGTTGACCCCATACCCAAGCCATGACAGAAGTCTTATAATAAATATGCATTTAGTTTATACTATTACAACTCTTTGGTTACGAGGTTATAGGTTTTTCAAAAAGTAGAACTATAACGTGAATGTACACCGAGCTGGCCATGACACCGAGCTGGCCATGACACCGAGCTGGCCACTTTGATGCGCCAACGCGACCGGCCAACTTAATGTTTGATTTTCTCAACAACCAATTATGGCAAAGTCATACAACGAAGCAGACTTAATGCTAGCCCTTCAAGCTCTCATAAATGACCAAAAACTTAGTCTCCGACAAGCGGCAAAAACGTACCAAGTCCCCCGAAGCACCCTCCAAACGCGTCAAAACGGCGGCTCGCCCTCGTACGGGCCGAGTGCGCTGAGCTTCGAGAGGCAAATAAGATGCTAAGCCGGCGCCGGAGGACTAAAAAATGCAATTACGGGAAGGAGAATCACTTATTTTCCAAGAAGGACAGGACCTACCGGACTCTAGGGAGTTAGCGACGCAGATACAGCAAGAAGAGCGCCGAAATGGTGGTCGCGCAAAGCGTGTTGAAACGCGCCCGAGGCGCTGTGGTATTTGCAACGGGACTGGGCATAATGCGCGAACTTGTAAGATCGCATTGCCATCTTCTGGAGAGGAAGATTCAGAGTAGTTTCAATTGATTTACGGCGTTGTGGTTTTACTATCGTAAAATTTCTATGCGAGGTTATGTAAGGGTGGCCAGCTCGGTGTACATTCACGTTAAATGTAAAAAAAAAAAAAAAAAAAAAAAAAACGTTTGGTAGCTTATAGCGAAGCTTACCGATTTGTGTGAGGTTTGTAAGATTTACCTGAGCGGAAGGGTGTCCTATGATCATTGTACGGAGCCTACGATGAAAAACTACCACTTACAGGAGTTAGGGTCGGTGACGCGGCTATGTTCCGTTCCGGTATAGTCATTGATAGCGTCGAGTACTACGGCGATCTCAATTATATGGGCCGGGTTGCCCAGTGCTGGGTTGTCATTGAGCCGAATCTTGCCGTTATTTGCATCAGCCTACCACTTTTACATCGTCTCTGTTTGAAATTCAGACGCGAATGCACGACGAGACAGCACGGATGTCAATAGATTCGGCTACAGACTCTTGGCAAGAAACCCTCCGAGATCTGGTGTTTGTGTACCACTAAAAACGACACATTCGATCTTGACGCGTTCCCAAGCGAAGCCAGCAATGCTCGTAGGCCCACGCCGGCTTCTTCCTACTAGGCGATGGATCATCGGCCGATAGATGCAAAGAAGGCTTGAAGGCAAGCTCGCAGGCCCCACTCATCCCGAGTACTGTCTCTAAGTCTTTCGTTTTCTGGAAACTCTAGTGGAAGTCGAGTTTGAGTGTACACTTATCAATGGCAGCATTCGACCAAATTGGCCGAATCAACTGACATTAAGCCGTTCCTTACGCTATCCGAAGCCAATGCAAAAGCACGATTTGAAAGGATCGAACCCCTTGTCGGGACGCGAATGCAACTTGCGACGAGTCATGTCCCAGTCTAGCCAGATACCTTATCTTTATGGTCATCTTTATGGGAACCGGCGTCCGATACGGCAAACCGCGTGAGGCTTTTTCTAACTTTCCGTGCCGAGACGGGGTACTAGCTGTCATAACGCGGAGCTGTGGATACACTCCTTATTAGATCCAAGATATGGGGAAATTAGTACGACGTACTTGATAGTATATTTTCGGTCGCATCGGTATGGTACGCGGTGTCTTGGTTCTCTGTTCTCTGCCTCTTTCTCGTCGACCTCTCAGCCTCAATCTCCAAGATCCCCAAGATGAGGACCACCATCAGATCACTCGCGACGCTGTCGCTCCTCGTGGGATCTAATGCTGCACCCACAGAGTCCTCCCAAGGCGCGCTCAAGCACTGGCCCCCAGCCGCCGCCAAGTCCCTAAACAAGATGATCGCCCGCAACGCCAACCAGAGCAATTTTGCCGTCTTCGACGCCGACAACACAAGCTGGCGCTACGATATCGAGGAATCATCTTTGCCGTACCTCGAAAACAAGGGCATCATCACACGGGACACTCTGGACCCGTCCCTGAAATTAATCGAGTTCAAAGACACGACCGACTACACCGAGTCGCTGTACAGCTACTACAATCGTCTCTGTGCCCTCGATTCTATGATCTGCTACCCTTGGGCCGCGCAAGTCTACTCGGGCCTCACTATTCGCGAGCTCAAGGGCCACATCGATGACCTCATGGTGCTTAACAGCACTATCCCGGTGACGTACTGGGACGGCGAAGAGCTCGTGGACGAGGAGATCAACCCACCTCGTATCTTCACGGGCCAGGTAGAGCTGTTCAACGAGCTGATGCGCAACGGCATCGCCGTTTACGTCATCAGCGCGTCGCAGGAGGAGGTCGTGCGGATGGTCATGTCCGACCCCAAGTACGGGTACAACGTCCCGGCCGAGAATGTCATCGGCGTGGCGACCATGCTGAAGAACAGCACCTCGGGCGAGCTGACCAACGCGCGCATGCAGATCGAAGCTGGTACGTATGACGAGGCCGCCAATTTGGACTTGGTCATTGGGCCCTACCTGTGGACGCCGGCGACGTGGTATGCGGGGAAGTGGGCGGCGGTGTTGACTTATATCGATATGTGGAAGAAGCCGATTTTGGCGGCAGGGGACACACCGGGGAGTGATACGTATATGCATTTTAATGTCGATATTGAGAAGGGGGGAGCGCATCTATGGATCAACCGGTCGGCGGACAAGTATGAGGAGTTGCAGGGTTTGATTCAGGAGAGTGTCGAGGGACAGGAGCAGAACGGGCTTCCGGTCACGGCGGATAAGAATTGGATTGTTGTGTTGCCCACGGACATCCAGTAGGGGCTGTACTCGTCGGGTCATTCTTCTGATGAGGAGAGATCCCTACGAACAATTTAATTGTAATTGTAATTACCATGCTGTGAAATTATGTGCTTTGCGACTATAGATGATTCACCAGCCGTCATGACCACCGGTATGGTACAAATGTCGAGTGGTGTCGAATGTGTATACACGTACCCCGTTTCCATGCACCGTCCTAAACATATCGAAGTGCCGCAGCGGTCGCAAGACCCATGATACCCTCAAAACCTGCCAGTCGCTGCAAAGGTGGTCCCGCATGCCAGAAAGCAACAACCGCCACTGCACGGCCGACTATGTTGAGGTAGAACACCTCCTTGTTCAATTTCAAGGCGACATGAGTTAACACCAGGCCCAGACCGACAGATGACACACTGTCAGAGTTGTTTTCAGCTTGCCATTACAAGCGTGAAGGACGGATTAATGCTGTATGAATTGGACTAACCCGAGGATGTTGAGTGCTGCAGGGGGCGTGCCTGCCAGCTGCGGTGTCCCAGTGACAGTGTGGGGGAATACAAGTGTAAGGACTCCGCTCAAGAGGACGAATGCGCTTGGTGCTAGCAGAACGGTTTTCGCTATGGTAGAGGCCATGGATAACTTATTCGAAGTGTAACGATTGTTTGGACCGTCAACAGGGTTGAGTATGATCGGAAGATTACACACAAAGGGTTACTGATGAAATATTCCACTTATAAATGAGGATATGTTGAACTGTGTTGTGAAGCCGAATGATATTGTACCGTTGCAATACGATGACATGCTAATAAAATCGATCTCACGCATATGTAAGTTGATGTCGTAAGGTGAAAGTGTCACCTGATTACTAAAGAAATCTCACGTAAGAGGGACCTAGACAAGTTCTAGACTAAACAAGGCTGAAACTATTGTACTCATATCTTCTAGTTAACCTCTATTAACATAAACCGTTACTAGACGTTTAAAATCCTCTTAAGTGTCTTACATGCAATTGGAGGGTATACTTCCGAGCAAGCTCTAAATAGCTAGCTTCTGGGTATTTTTAGAAAGATAGCGTTTATCTCTAGGATTAGTCTTGAATTTCCCTCTCCTCTGATTCACTATATTGGTTATCTAGACACGCTTTACTCGCTAAAATCCTCTGCAAGTAACGCGTGCATTTATCTATATATAGCTCTAGTAACTATAGCTACACGTGCTTTAGAATTACATCCTCTAGCTAGTGAACAATTTTCGCTTAATTCAGTGCCGAATTCACGCAATCTGCCCTCAATTTAACGGAGCGGTACGCAAGTGTTGCTATGGTGGAGTTCATTAATAGGTTGATATATCAAGGATGATGTCACTTTTTGTAGATGAGCCTCTATCAATAGCATGTATTTCTGTACCCCAATATCAGAGTCATTGCAAGCTATAACAAAGCATATAGTTGAATGTATCTCTCTTAAGTCCCCAAATATAAAGGAGTGCGCCGGTTGGAGGGCGCATGGGCTACGTGTCAGCGGTGGGTAGTGAGGCACGGGATGGAGTTCGCCCTTGACAAGAGTGAGCTAATGCACTTTACTAGGGCCCGAGAGCCCTTGCCGCAAAGTATTCGCCTTGGGGACGCCACACTGTCGCCGGTAGTCTCAGCGAGGTTCCTAGGAGTCTGGTTCGACCGCAAACTGACGTGGCATGCCCATGTTGAGCGTGTTAAAACAAAAATGGCAACTCAAAAGCTAGCCCTGACAAAGCTAGTCAATATGTCGTGGGGCTGCGATCTTATACGGGCGAGGCTGTTATATACGGTGGTTATCCGTAGCGCGATCGCCTTCGGGGCGACTGCGTGGCATACTATAAGTGAGGAACCGGCAGGGCCAGCTAAGAGCCTGATGGGGATACAGAACGAGTGCCTCCGGGTAGTCTGTGGCGCTGATACGTGACCCCATGAGGGGTTGCCCTATAGCTAGAGATAAGATAGATAAGAGCTATAAAAGAGCTCTGCCAGGCCAGAATAGCTGACCTGGCCATCCTTTTCCAATACAACAATTCACGACCCATATGCACTCGACGCCGGTTCGCCACCTGGAAGCAGAAGCAGCAATCCCGCCACTAGACCTCTATCTTAGTGCCCGGGCTGCTAAGTTTGAAGAACGGCTACGGCTTAGCGGGAAGAGAAATCTGCTTCCCAGCGCGAGCGCTAAAGCGTCACATATACTCCGGCAGGATAGGCCGGCGAAGAGGAAGCAGGCGTCGCAGCTACTCCGACCGGCAGGGTACACTATGGAGAAGGAGGCCCGGGGCTCCGAGTGGATGAGTGAGGAAAAGGAGGTCCCGGCTGCCCTCCTCGGCCACTGGAGGAAGAGATGGCTCACCGGAGCAGAGCATCACGATCGCCAGCGACGCGCTATCGCTGAGGAACCGGAGGGCCCTTCGATGCAGATACCGAAAGGGGGCAGGTATTTCGGCCTGAACCGACTGGAGGCGTCTACGCTGTGCCAGATCAGGACGGAAAAAATAGGACTAGCAGCCTTCTTATTCAAGACAGGGGCTTTTGGCGTGTACTCGCCGCTATGCCGCTGTGGCGACGCCCCTGAGACGGCAGAGCACGTAATCCTCTTTTGCGGGCTGTTGGAAGGACCGAGGGAACGATTACGGGCTGCTATCGCACCACGGCCACTATACTCTCGCAGAGACCTCGCAACGGCAACAGGAGAACCAGTAGTTAGTGGGACTATTGTAAGGTGGCTGCTAGGGACGGGTCGGACAGCTTCAAGGCCCAGATAGCATTGATATTCTCAGGGGGGACTTTGTTGGTAGGTTGAGAACCAACGTAGTATGGTAGTGAACGCAACGCAGTCGCCAATAGGGCGAACCGACGACGCAGCGTATGTATTTAGTCCAGCCATTAGGGCACGGTTTGACATACGGGAGTACTGGTAGAGGTACCGGGGGCTTCGAGCCTACGGCGTATTTAATAATAATAAAGGAGTGAAGGTAGCCATAAGGGCCTTAAGTACAGAAAAGTAAGTCGGTTGCTGATACGCCAGAGGGTTCGCTCCTCAAATTCTATCAGTTGGCTGTTGCCAATGTTGTGGTGCTCAGAGTTCATCCATAATCAGTCAACTGGCTGTAGTAAATCAATTGGAAAAGACAGTCGTTGGAGGTCGAATGCTGGTGCAGCCAGACACCCAAGCCGCAGTAGTTATCATGTGTATCAGCTGTATCCCAAACCCCAGTAGCTGTCATAAGGATCAAACTTCAAATCCGTCTCATTCCGGCAGCCCGGCTTGTAATGGTCGATTTTCTTCCCGTACGGCCACATAGCCACGAAGCAAATCATACCAACCGGGCACCCCCGACACTTCCTCCAGCGACTCCAATCCAGATACCTCATCAGTTTGCTGATTGTTTGTTGACTTTTTTCAATGGCAGCCTGAAGTGCCTTCTCGTCGGGTGCTTGGGAGAGAGCTATTTGGATGTCATGTCGGGTGGTGAAAAGGGACTCGCATATGTATCGAAGAACCTTCTTGATTGCGGTATATATCACCTCGTCCTCTGGCGTGAAACCCGCCCTGAGACCTTCGACTGGCTGTAAGTAATGTTCCGAGCATCTTCCACGTGCTTCGTGGTCTCTCCTGATCTCATCGTCGTTTTTCATGTTCACATCATCTGGCTCGCTGGGGAAATCCCAGTATGTGTCCGTCACTCTGAATAACTCATGGACAAATTGACTAGGGTAGATAGACGGAAGCGTCATCATATCCAGTCGGTCAGCGTACCGGGTAATGATGGCGTCGACGATAGTCTGCCACTCGATTGAAGATCTTTTCCCTCGCAAAGAAACCTCACGCACGCGGTAGTAGATTTGCCTTCGTTCCTCGAAAGTACTCGATATAAGCCGCGGCAACTCCTGGGCATTGGGATCGGGATTCGTGATATTGACCGGGTAAAAGTACGCTGACACCATCCTTGAAAAATCAAGCCGAACCATACCCCCAGTAAACCCGTCATACCGCTGTCCCACCGCGCGCGCCCATATGAAGAGACTACTGCCAGAATGAATCTCATCATCATGCACCACTTTCATAAAGGGGCGCCTCACCATGCCTATGAGCTCCAGACCATAAATAAAATTGCAGTAAATGACTTCAAATCCGATTTCCATGCGGATGAGTCCATCATACCCCCATTCCGTGACGTGGTCGCAGAGTTCTCTGGCTCGTTCCAGTTCCCGGAGGGCTCCCTTGTCGGTATTGTTCAGCAACCTCAAGATGAGGTCTTGCGTGTCCAATGTTCCCATGTAGGACTTGCCGGCGCTCATACCGTCCACATAGAGTAGGTTGAGGTCGCGGGTGGCTTGGTATGTGTGCAAGTAGCCTCTGATAGGATGACTTGGAGGTTGCAGGTGGACATTTTCATGTTGGGAGTGTATTGATTTCTGTTCATCTCTATCTTCAAAGAGGTGCTGGTCATCTTTTAATGGCGGGAAGGACCAGGCAAAGGCTTCTGAATGCTCGATGTCAAACGCAAGCCACTCCGGGCCAGGCGGTGTTTGACTACTGGGCCCGCCATGATAAAATAGGCTCCCTTTTGGAATTGTGGCGGGAATCATGGAAATGCCGTTGTGGTGTAGTGATGAGCCCCATTGCCGCATGGCCGAGTGGATCGAGTTAAATATGCTGAAGGCATTCTGTCGAGCGCTTTCCTGAGACGGGCTGGTCGCGATCGGTTCATTTGCCGATGTCGATAAGCCCCAGCAGAGAACAAGAAGCAGGAGTAGCTGTGGTAATATCATCTTGGGTTACTTGAGAAGAATTTGAAGCGACAAAAACAAGACGAGATGCGCATGAGTGCGCCGTGTTTGCTGGGTGGGTGGCACTGCAGGTCATGAGATATTCTCATGATTTGTTCCGACTACATGAGCGTATCATGTTGCATGTAAGCACAGGAGATCAGCATTGCTAACAGTTGTCGTATTTCACAGCGTACTGATTGCTACAGACTGGGCTGCAGTTGGTTATACTTACTTACATTTCCCAAATGTCAAACTTGTTTGATTCTTTGCATAGCCCATCGCAACCAACCTATTATGTTCGGCATATCTAAAGATCAGGCTCACTCTTGTGAATAATATACTCGGCAAATAACATGAGTAAATAAGGCCGAAGAGAATACATTAACTGTTGTCAGCAATATTTGGTATCTAGTACTGCACTCGCTTGGAGATTTACAGGTGTCCGAAATACGCCTAAAATAGCGCTAGAGGCGGGGTAAACTCCACTCATATATATAGTTCCAGACAAACTGTATAGAGAATTAAACCTCCCTTCCTACCTGAAATTCTACAACTATTAAAGTATATCAGGATAACCGAGTATTAGGCCAATTTAATATTGACATTAGTGGGACTATTGTAAGGTGGCTGCTAGGGACGGGTCGGACAGCTTCAAGGCCCAGATAGCATCGATCTTCTCAGGGGGGACTTTGTTGGTAGGTTGAGAACCAACGTAGTATGGTAGTGAACGCAACGCAGTCGCCAATAGGGCGAACCGACGACGCAGCGTATGTATTTAGTCCAGCCATTAGGGCACGGTTTGACATACGGGAGTACTAGTAGAGGTACCGGGGGCTTCGAGCCTACGGCGTATTTAATAATAATAATAATAATAATATTGACGTGCCTGTCGGTGGTACTTTTCAATTTTTGTAGCAGATACCTACAACCTCTCCAACAACTCCTCGATGGCCCTATTCGTCTCCGCGCTCCTCTCCATGTGAACCCAATGTCCCGCATCAACCGTAGTGACCTTAAGATGCGGCACCCAAGCAGACAACATCCGCATCTGCATAACCGCGGCCGAAGCCGGCTCCTTTGACGCAACAAAGACAACCTGATGCGGAATCCGAAAATCCTCAAACCCCTTCTCATCCGGCACCGAGAGATTTTCCGTCAACATCTTGTAGTAGTTTGACGGCCCCAAGTATCCGTTTTTCCTGCCAAACGTCTCGAGGTGCCTCCTCTGCAGTTCGGGGGTGAACCATGCTGCGACCTCTTGGCCCTGACCTGCCTCCACAAATTTCTTCATCCCGCCTATGGGATGAAAATGGAGATCCCACATCTTGGGGTCGGCAGCGAACACGATATCCATGAATGACTCAGCATGGACCTCCATCATGTGTTGAGCATTTGGATCGCGGACGATATAGGTCATGTACCCAAAACGCTCTATTCCAGTAGCCATTTTCGTCGTCTGGTTAACTATATCAAGGTCAAACCGCGTGCTAGGCTTGGGTGGTCCTACACCCAGAAACGCAGACGCGTAGAATCGGTCCGAGTGATAGAGGATTAAGCGTGAGAGGATTGTGGCGCCCCAATCGTGGCCGATGCCAACTACTTTTGGCAGGTGGACATGATCCAGCAGCTCAATGAGATCTTGGCTCATCGGCTTGAGCCGGTACGCTTTAGGGTCTGCTGGGTTGCTTGATCCTCCGTACCCTAGGGTATCTGGAACCAGGAGACCATAGCCTTGAGACTCGAAATATCTGATTTGGTATATCCAATCATCGATGTGAGAGGGCCAGCCGTGGATGAGGAAGATGGTTAGCTTATGGTCTTGACTTGGGATGTGAATGAATGAGTAGGCGTAGCCACGCGATGTAGTGAACTTCTTCCGTGGTGGTAAGGACATGACCATTTTCTTTGGCTATAGAAAACACACAAGAAGTAACGTTCTTCGTCTTTATTGAGTATGAAATATCCATGTGCTGCGTGCAGTAGTTGTGATTATTAATGCCTGTAAGTCTCCGAGCCTAGTGTCAAAAGTGTCCGGCCATAAGCTGAGATAATTGAACCATAATGACGCCATAGATCACGTTCAAAGAGACACTCTAGATCCTCCGACATAAGAACAATAATTTCCGAGTCTTCTGGACCGCCCGACTTACTAAAGGCCCCAGGAAAGGCTAAGTTAACCTGTCATATCTAACGAACCAGTGCTGCGGTCTGTCTACTAGAATACATATTTCAAAGTATAGACTGGCTCGGAGATCCAGATCATCTACGTCATATGATTGTTTGTGGTTTCCTTGTATCCCAACAAGCCAATAGCTAGGTCTGTACAAACCATTTCACAATGTGTTTAAATATTTTGATACGCTCGAGGCTGGCTGGTACCACCGCCCGAAATCCATGACGATCCTCGAGGCCGTCGGCGGCATTCTCAATATTTTTTTGTACGCGCTGCCTGCGCTGGGCGGTTCGTGTGCCGATCAGAGTTAGAGCTTACCGACGCGTCGCGAGAATAGAATTAGTTGTATCTTCTATACCATCTATCTGGGGAGGAAACCCTCTTAAATCTAGGCCAAGTGTATGCTGAACAATAGCTCTTTCATCTATCTCGGCGACTAGTGAGCTATTCGGCTAGGTTTCGGTACGTGGGGCACGACCGTAGATTCTATCGCGGAGGGGGGACTTAGGTATACCGTGTAGCGAAGCTACACGTCGTTAGCTCATTTTCTTTTAGTCGATCGGATAGCTTCGATAACGAGGTTGATTTTAGCTTCTTTTTAAGGAAAGAAGTTTTGGGAGTCTGAAGGTTGGAAAAGTTGAAAAAGTGCACGACTCGGTGTTAATCCACGATTATAAAATCAAGCAAAAAGATTTATAAAGTAGTAACTTAACTGTTTTAATACTGATAGCTGTATTTATAGTCCAGGGGTGGCTTAGCACACATTCGTAAAGCAAACAAACAAACCAGATAGGAAGTTCAATATGTATTTGCATAACTGACAATACAACTCCAAATTAATCCATAGACCGGATTTTTTTTGTTTGCTTGATGTTAGGCTCTATCATTGAGATAGGTCAAGGATGCATTTGCAGCCGATTGGCCGATTTTGAGTGCGAATCCGTTGGAGGATGTGAGGGTATTTGGAACTCTGGAGAAGTATCGCCTAACTGATATCAAGGACGGGCGTGTTCACGAGAGTTGGTGGAGCAAGTCGCCCAAGGACGTGGAAGAGCCATCGAGATTGATCGTATAGCTTCGTCTTGGTATGTATGTAGCCAACCACTCCAACCGTCAGAGGGGTGGGATGCTCGTAATATCATGTATTAAGACATATATCTAGAATGTCGACCCATGAGAGGCTTTTAAAATACCAATCAAGTCTCCCGAGTCCTGTCATCTGCGTCATAAAATAGGTCGACCCTGACCAAACTTTCACCTGAAAGAGGGGTATGCGTCCGACGCCGTAGAAATGCAGTCAAGTCAGATGCGCTCTCTTCTATCTTCCCTCTCTTTCCCTTCGTCCTCCCAGAGTCTCGACTGGGTGAAGATGTTGCGTCAGCACGCAAACTTGCTTATGTAGCTACCCCATCCAAGTCGCGCTCTGTGGTTGAGTTTGATGGTGGTGGTGGTGGTGGTGGTGGGGTATCATTGTCAACCGCAATACCAAAAGTCCGGAGTCGGATCTGACCCGCGCCCTACGGTCGGTTGAATCCTTGCTTCGCCTATAATTTATTGTTAGCAAGTCATGTTTTCTCCCGGTAGCAACAGGCTTTTCACCTTCATCTGCTCAATTCTCGCCTTGAGCTGACTAGTCACCTCTGCCGCGCGTTTCCAGCTTTCAACACCATTGCCATTTGCCCCAACCGCAGAACTGACACCAGATCCAGATGCACCAAAGCCGCCAGCTTCATCGATCGGTGTGCTTCGGAAGCCCCGAGCAGGACTTGCTCGCCCACTCGACCCACCGCCGCCAAATCGCAGTTCGGGGCTCATCATCTTGTTCCTCGGGTAGGTTGGAGGAATATCTCCATTTTCCTTCTCCTCAGACATCGTGCTGGTGAAGCTCATTCTGTTGCCTCTAGCGCCAGCGTGATTAACACCGTCGCGATAGATGCCCATATCATCATGTGTTGGACTCCCGACCCCTGGACTGGCGACGCCACCACTAGCATTGAGCGCCTCGGCCTTACCAAGGGCTCGCTTTAGCCGGTCAAGTTCGCGGCGGAGTCGTTCATTCGTCTGTTCGGCAGCTTCTGCGTCACTCCTCGCCCTGACCAACTGTGTCTCCTTAGCCTTGATGCTGAGGACATCCCTTGTATGATCTTCAATGAGTTGTGCGTTCTGGTTCTTCAGTTCCTGGATCTCGGACATCATCTTGCTCTTTTCGTGTCGTACTTCTTCGGCTTGTTTCAGCAGGCGGTAATTCGTCGCGCGAAGCTCTTCAATTTCTCCACGCTCTGCAGCCGTGAGACCACTCGATGGGGTTGGTGACGTAGGTACGGGGGCTTCAACAGGCGCTGCGGCTGGCTTCGCTAAGGAACGTGCCGCAAGCCCACCTCGCCCAACGCCAACTCGAGGCTTGGGAGGTGGAGATGGCTCAAACGGCTCGTCCTCGTCTTCAATGGGGGCTGGCGGAGGCGCGGCAGCTGCAGGAGCTCTGCGTGGCGATGATAATCCGGAAGGCGCACCGATGCGTCGCTGCGGAGCCTTCAGTCCTGATAGGCCAGACGTCTTCGGCATGCCGAGTTTGGTGCTAGCTGGGGCAGCTTTTGATGACAACTGGGGCGCAAGGGGAGCTTCTGTGGGTGCCGCTGCCGCTGGTGCCTTCTTGGCACCTGCCGGTGCCTTCTTAACCATCTTCTTCGGACCACCTGGGGGACCACGAGCTGCTGGAGCAGGTGGTGGCTTGGGCTTGTCTTTTGCCTTCACTTCGGCTGTCTCAAAGTACTCCTTGATCTTGGTCTTGCGTATCTCATCGAGACCCTCGAGATGTGGGTTCATCGCACGCTCTCCAATAATCTTCATGATCGTTCCGAGAACCTCAGCACCACCAGACCGCAAACCCTCACTTCCCTCAGCAAGGAGTTTCTTCGCAGATTCGACCAGAGTGGCGATTTCCTGCTTGCTTGGGACATCCCGCGTAGTCCGAAGACAACGAACGAGAAACTTCATTGTACCCTCCTTGACTTGAGGGTTCTTGTGGCCAAGAAATGCGATGATATCTTCAAGGCAGTCGGTGAGACTTGTCGCCAGGAAGACTTGGTCTAATGCTGCACCAAGGGCGTCCGAAACCGATGCCTTCTTCTCTTTCAGTCGCTCCATGATGGGTGCCTGGACAATCGATCGATATTTCCCGAAACCTTTGCGTAGACCTTTGGCGAGAACCTCGATACACTGTGCTGCTTGTGTGACAACCGTAATGTTGGCGTCCTTCATGCATTTGGCTAATCCGCGGTTTATTTCGTCAAAGTGGCCATCCTTAATCCTCGGTATGTTCAAAATGGCGAACAAAGCCTCGAGTGCTTCTTTACGCTCCTTCCATTTTGAAGATGCCAGGTTCTCGTGGAAATTCGCCGGAACCTTGGACAGGACATCCTGCGGCTCAGCAAGGTCGAAAGCGTCCACTTCAGCCGGCTCCTCAGCGTCGTCGCCATCATCATACTCTTCGGCCCCTGCACCAGCCGCTGGAGCACGAGCCATGGCAGCTTGTTGTGACCGTAGTAGTCTCTCTTGTTTCGCTGGACCTTCGGCCTTGATCTTCTCGAACTGCGCCTCCAAATCGGTTTGCTGAGTCGGCTTAAGATCTCCCCAGAACATGGGTTTCATAGCCTCTCGTAACCAGCGGTATAACTCAACCGCCAAGTTGGTGGCCTCGGCTCGCACATTCTTGTCGGCATGACCAAAGGCTTTCGGGAGAGTCTTGAGGACTGGCTTGGGGTCACAAATCTTGCAGCCATAATTGTGAAATATGCTAGTGAGAGCAGCCAGCGCTGCAGCAATAACTTTCGGCTGCTTATTTGAGAGAGCGGGAAGGATATCTTCCATGACCGGGGCGGCTTGGTCGATCTCAACCAGGAGTAACAGTGCTTCAATTGATGAGGCTTTTGTACCTGGCCTCGTCGAGGTAAGACCCTTCTCGCAGATTGGTGTAACTGTGTGCCCACGAGACCGTGTGCAGTTTTCCTTCCCGCCAAATTTTAGAAATGCGCAGTAGGCAGCAATGCCATCTGTTTGAGCAGCAACATTGGAATCTGCTACGGCACCTTTCCAAAGGCTAGGCTCTTGGTTGAATGGACGAAATGCGGGATCATACTCGTCCGGTGTGACCTCGAACTGCTTTGCTGCCTCTTCATATGCAGCCTTGCGGACCTTCCACACCTTATGCACCCATCTGTCCGTCAACGGAAGAGAGCTGTAGTCGGGCTCTCCTTCCGCCATGTCGCTGGTGGGGGTACCTGGTATGTGCAACGGCGACGCGGTTGATCCGAGAGACGGGAACGAGGTGAGAGCAGTTACGTCGACCGGTGGGGCTGCTGGGGGCGACGGGGCTCTGGAAGAGGCTTTGGAGGACGGCGGGGGTGATACCGGCTCGTGGTTTGGTAGGGGTGTAGACTTGGCGTGGTTCTTGCTCTTGAAGAAGCGATGCGACTCTTTGGTCGAGGGTGATACTGTATCAGCAACTTTCTTGATCAGCTTTTGCAACGAAGGTTTTCTCAAATGGTCGAGAGGCCGCATATTGTCACAATATTCACGGAAATGCTGGAAAACATAGAGAAGGGCATAGGCTTGACTGTGAAGTGCGGACGTGACGACGAAGGTGGCAGCAGTATAGTGTAGATGTAGCACAAGCTTGAACTGAGGCAGCTAGATCACCAGTCTCGACCTATGCTGAAGCTGCTGCTGAAGATGTAATGCGATCCTTTGCCGAGATCACAATCATGAATCATGACCTCCATCGTTCAAACGGCTGGGGTGTCGGGGGACCGTAAGAAATCGACTTTGAGACGTACGTTTTGTTCACCAAAGAAATCCGGGCCGGGCGAATTGGATTTTGTCGCAGACAGCGTTCTGGCTGTTCGGAATGTTGATTTTGCGGCAAGATGCGAGAGGGTATAGCAGGTGCTGTAGCGGGTTGCGACTGTTGTTTGCAGGATTAAGATTGGTGTTGTAAAAGTCGGCAGGCGCGAAGTGGAAGCTGGCGATGATGTCGATTTGTTATGCGCCCTACAGGGACGGGGAAGGTGTGGGTGATAATCACCACATGCAGGGGTCGTGTCGGGCAACCATCAATCTTGGGCTGTGGTGGGTCACTCTTTCCTCGCGGGGTCAAGCTCATGCGCATTTCTTGATACTAGGTCGAGAGAAAAGATGAAAACTAAAGCCGTGGTTAATGATGAGAGTGTGTACATTATTCTGGATTTAGTAAATTCTCCACGACGCGTTTACGCTGTACAATCTTTTAAATTGCTTCTAGTCGCCAACTTTGCTGAACTTTTCCTGTTATACCAGACATGCAAGCCGAGACGCACATGCGGTCTGTGTTGACACGGGATGCAGTTCGACAGGGGTTGGCAGCCACACCATGACTGATTTCTCTAGAAACTGCTTCAAATGTACACTCTTGGTGTTTATTCTTGTGTTGCGGGCTGATATAGGCCGAAAATCGATGCTACTGACTCAACCCCATCCTAATAGACAATTGCGCTGGACTATGTGACGGTGCATGACCAACATTGGATGAGCAAAGGTATCGAAGCAACAATATTTTGATCCTGACAATAGCCCTGGATCCCTATGCCTTTAACGTCTGAAGTGTGGCTAAGCCGGCATCCCTAGTGTGGCTGACACCAACCGTCAATGCAACTTTGACTCGGATTTGATTCTCTGACCGCATTCAAATTGACATCGAGAACATGGAGAGGCCAATAGCTTGAAACATGATTCTTCTGTCTGATGCTTCACACTGAACTACGCACCACAAATGCGAATTCTGGTCAGCTTTCCTAGGGATATGATGATTCTAAGTGTCGAACCATCCGACTTCTGGTGAATGACCTCCTTTATCTGCCTCGTCCTCTGCTGTGAATTTTGTTCCAAACACCGCCCTTCACCCCGCGGAACACATTAACGGAACGTCCCGCTTCGCTACCCAACAACAACTGACTCCGTCGTCAGATCACTACAAGCTTACAAACGCTTGGATCGAGCCCATTTCCCAATACGAGCCGCAGCATTCAACCACCGTCCACCCTCATCTCACACTTGAGCCGATTGCTGCCCAACGAACTACGCAGTGCGGCGTTACCAGCTGCTCGTTTCGCTCCTTCTGGTTGAACACACCTTGCTGGGCTCAATAGAGCCTTGAGCACAGAAATCGGAACCTGGCCAAAATGACGACCCCAATTTTGACCTCGCGGCAAGCCGAGGAACTGCACAAAGCCATTATCGCATATCTCTCCTCAAATAATCTGCCGTCAGCAGCCGAAGCGCTGCGGCAAGAGCTAGAGCTGGGCGACACCTTCGACGCCACCACGTCCAAGAAATATGAAGGTCTCCTCGAGAAGAAGTGGACCAGTGTGGTGCGCCTGCAAAAGAAGGTACGTTCACACGCTCTCATCTGGCTGACGGGTTTGCTGACACGTTTCTCGCGCGGCAGATAATGGATCTCGAGTCAAGAAATGCTACTTTACAGTCCGAAATCGACAACGCAACTCCTACATCCCTTTCCCGCCGAAACCAAGACCCCACCAGCTGGCTACCCAGGTCGCCGCCGAGGCACACATTGCAATCCCATCGAGAACCCATCACCTGCGTCGCTTTCCACCCTGTCTTCTCATCACTAGCCTCGGGGTCTGAGGACTACACAATCAAAATCTGGGACTGGGAGCTAGGCGAGTTGGAAAGAACCATCAAGGGTCACACGAAGGCAGTGCTGGATGTCGACTTTGGAGGGCCGAGAGGCGGAACACTCCTAGCATCGTGCTCGAGCGATTTAACCATCAAATTATGGGACCCCTCTGACGAGTACAAGAACATCAGAACTCTACCGGGTCACGATCACAGCGTCAGCGCCGTACGCTTCATACCATCCGGCGCAGCAGGCGCACCGAGCTCTAGCAACCTTCTAGTATCTGCTTCGCGGGACAAGACACTACGCATATGGGATGTGTCGACAGGCTACTGCGTCAAGACCCTCCGGGGCCACGCGGACTGGGTCAGAGATGTGTGTCCGTCGGTGGACGGCCGATACCTACTTTCGACTGGAAACGATCAAACTGCCAGGTTATGGGATGTGTCCCTCTCGAACCCGGAGAGCAAGCTCACTCTTGTCGGACACGAGCATGTTGTCGAATGTTGTACTCTGGCCCCGGGGTCAGCATATAAACACCTGGCACCGCTTGCTGGGTTGAAAAAGCCACCACTTGCGTCTAGCAGTGCCGAATTTATGGCGACAGGCTCAAGAGATAAATCTATACGACTCTGGGACGCACGAGGGAACTGCATCAAGACACTCGTCGGCCACGACAACTGGGTGCGCGCTTTACTCTTCCACCCCGGCGGAAAATATCTACTGAGTGTTTCGGATGACAAGACGCTGCGATGTTGGGACTTGAGCCAGGAGGGAAAGTGCGTCAAGACACTGTCGGATGTTCACGGGCATTTCATATCCTGCCTCAGATGGGCTCCTGGTATCGTTCGAGAACCCGTCGCAAATGGAAACGGCGAGTCCAATGGCGCGTCGAAGAATGGTAGTTCCAAAGCTGCTGCCACACCTGAGGTACAGATACGGTGCGTTATTGCGACCGGCAGTGTCGACTTGGCCGTTCGCATCTTCGCCAATTGAAAATCCTGCGAAATGCAGCTTTACAGACACCCCGCCGGGATGATAGGGCCACCAGTGATGCCAGCGTCGCACACGGCAATCACGACGTCTGAGGCGCATGCGTATTGGCCAAGGTCAATAGCAATCGCATGCAATCCCACTGGCATTGTCTCGACATAACTTGCCCAAATGACAAGCGCCGAGGGGCCAATTATGTCCAAAGATTCAGCGCCGTCTGTTGGAACGATCAAGTTGGGAAAGGACTTGGGAATTGCCACATTTCGCGACGTGGGGATGGCAATCCACGTCAGCGCTATATTCCAAGACTTGCAACTACGAAATGGAGCCTCGAATGTCATCAGATGGGCTGGCGGCATGGATTGGCGGAGTAAATATGAAAGAGAGAATAGATACCCGTCCATTGATCAATTATAAGCATTTGTGCCATTTTACCTGTTTCGGTATTTCAATTCTGCCTTAATGTACTGGTCAAGTGTTATAACGGGACCAGCCTGGCTTTTGAGGGCTCCTAGCCGTCTTGATTATAGGAGCTCTACTGATGACACATAATTTATATGGGCAGTATAGGCAAGTGAACTGTATCGGTGATGATGATGATGGGACCACTGCCAGGGGTTTATTGCCAAGGAATAGCCATCTACGGGCTTTTGACCAAAACGCTGCAACCAGCACGCAGCTGGTGTGCCTGGGGTACGCAACAGTTTCCGGTTCTGTACTTCGATGAGACGAGACCAATATAAACATTCCATCATTGCTGCAATGATAAACACCAGGGCTGTAGAAAGAAACGCCATGAATAGAGTGTTGCCCTATGACCTGTTCCAATGCACAAATGTAGGAGTAAACTCTCAAGCAAACATTGCGTGTATGGGATTTGAAGACTCCTTGTGCTCGCTCTACGAGAACATGTTAGACAGCCTCTTTATCAAACTTTTCAAGAGCGACAAGATCTGCCCACAGACGCTGATGAACATCTTGAAGCCACTTACTTGAATAATGCTTGCCAGGGCTCTGGGATTCGCGCATGCGTTTCAAGTGGGTGTGAAGCTCCCGTTTATCTTCTTTAGAAAGTATAGCTCATCTCAACTCTGACGATCACGCCCTCGCCTAATATAGGATGTGTATACGTCTTAGCTTACCATTCGTCAAGCCTAATTGACTCAAAGGTAGATGCGCCATTGACCATGAGCTTTCCATCGCTGTGTTAGTCGTTAGGATAGCAGAAAATGCTCAGCTTGCGGATGAACGAGAGGACGTGGAGCGTCACCTCTTCAATCTTCTTGCTGACCTGAATAGTCAAGTGTTCCTTGTTTATGTCATGTGTCATTTTATCGATAAAGACCTACAGCTTATCTAGAGTAGCCATGATGACCGACGCTTTAGCTTAAGAAGAAAAGTCAGCGAGGTAAAGGAGGAAGACTAAGGGAATTTAATACGGAAGATGCGAGATCATAATCTGCCACAGCTTCCACCGGGGCGTCTGGCATTCCCCCTCTAGTCCATGCAAACTCTCGGGATGGACCACGGCGATGATGACCTGGTGTTTCGCCTTGCGATCTGCTTCGATGATGCAGTCACTACATTACTTCATGCGTATGGATGAGCTGGAATTTGAGAGATAGCTTGAGGTTTCCTCCGACATTGAAGACATCTTTGTGGGGATTGAACCATGTCTCAAACACTAATGAAATATTGGGTAATTTCAAAGTAGATCAAAGAGACTAAGCGACAGCAAGGAAGGGGAAATGGAATTGCTTGAGATGTGTGCCCAAAGAACAAAAGGGACGTCGCCTTATATACACATGCCACACACTAGCTTCCAGTACTTGGTAGGTAGCGAACCAGCTGAGTCGGAAAGAGTATGCAACTACCATTGGCGGTCCCAACTCCTGCATGCAACTCGAGAGAAACAGCCGATCCTCATCCCGAAGTGAGCAGAGATCGTTGATATGCGACACGAATACAGGAGGTTTGACTGTAAGGAAGTTACAGCCTGACCACACTTAGCCGCAGACCTGATCTGTGAGATCATAGGGATAGCTTTCCGTGTTTCGACTGGATGCTACAGCTTCAGGCGCAACAAAACTTATCAACGTGCGAAAACTCTCAAGATCATTCAGAGGTAACACTTCAGAAGCCATGAGTTGATCGTATGATGCACGCAGAAGGAAACCATTAATACTATATTCCTATACTACATCCATGTAACTATAATGCTTGTATTAAATGCTACAAATGTGCAATATACCTTAACCTCAACCAATGCCTCTTCTATCGACGGCATGCTGTAGTAGTTGTGTGGGGTGATGTGTCCACAGCGAGCATCGGAAGACGAAATGTCGGATTGTTTCCCTGGCTTCGCCACAGGGGCATTGATCTGAATCTTTGACTCCAAATATGTGTTGGTAGCTGTTTAGGTGTGTCATACCAGGTCATAACTGTGCAGGGACGTTGGTTTCTGCTCGTCTCAAGTCGTCGTAGGGTTTTCGGGTGTTTCCCAGGTAGGGTAATGTCGATGTCTTTGAGTATATCCTATATCTGGAGGAATTTGCCTCCTCATGACCATGGATGCCTCAGTCCAGTTGAGGATGGTTTATGTGGTTTGGTATGACTTCTCGTCTGGTTACCGTCCTGGCCGAGATAGCTTGGGCCCTTATTTTCTGAAGCCGGTTGATGGCACGCAGTGGTCTTAGCCCACAGGCGTTGACCCACACATTACATCGTCCATTCTTGGCGCAACCGCTGCTACGAACAGCTGTCGAGCGGTAGCTGGAGATATTATTTCAGGCGCCTTAGTGCCATAGTTGCTTAGAGGCCTCTGGTGGCTGCCCTGGAGATGTGCTCTTTAAACCGGAGTTGCGTATCTATGACAACCCTAAGATCTTTGCCTTGTCTGTTGGTGTTACGTCTATACCTCTTATCGTGAACGGATTGTTATCGATGTTTCGTGGGTTCGTCGAGAACTGGTTAATTGCGGTCTTATCCCCTTCAAAAGTAGCCCGCTCCTTCTCTCCCATTCCACCGCACGACAAATTAGGGTTTCGACCCCTTATCGATTTGAGGCTGTGAGACTGCAGTCACTATTACCCAGACCGTGTAATTATCCACGACTTATTAATATGTTCTTGGAGGGGTATTAGTGTATACTTCGACGACCTTTACTTCCGTGCCTTAGAATAGTTAGTAAGCAGGAGCCAACATTTCGACTAAATTCGATATCCTTGCTGCGATCCACCGCTTCGAGTACATTGGTAAGGATAGAAAGAAGGGGGATTAGTCGCTAGGCCTTAGCCTTGGTGTAGTGATGCGTGTGCATATGGGGGGTAAAGTGTTTGTAAATTGGTATGCATGTCCTGTCTAAGCTATAGCGGGACTACTATACTCAACAGTGTAAGAACCCTTACGCTCCCCTCTACATCTGATACATCTCGACCGCAGTCGCTTTCAAACTTCGTTATCCAATTCAGCTATAACAATTACAACCTCCTGCCGGGGCTCCCCGTACCGGCTCCCATAGGGCTTTACAAAACAGTCTACAAAGACAAGGTTTTCATAACGGACAGTTCCGACACTGCCAGTCCTGGTACTGTCCTCCTACAATCCAATTTTGTTCTGAATGGACAGGAGGATCCCCATTTTACTTTCTTTTGTTAACTTCGGCGCCGATTGCACCTGGTGGAGCTTGACGCTTGGCTCGTGTATATGCTTTCAAGTAAGCCCCATCACGAATGATTGGATCCTCGACGACAACCGGTTCTACGTAAGTATCACAGCTACGCGCGGGGGTTTTCCAAATCGCTGTTCTTCGTGGCGCTGTTGTTGGAGCTTCTTTGGGGTGTTGGATATCTGGCTGTGTAGATCGACTTTAAAATCAATAACAAGTTGGTGCGCTACAACCATCCCTGCTCTGGCACGGCTCATAATGTGTCTCATCTCGTGGAAGCAATGAACAGGGGCCTCGGAAGCACGCCTTCTACATGTTCAGATAAGGATATCCGGAACCAGTTCGATAAGTGTCCACCGGTAGGGTTGGAGGCCCGACATTGTGAGGAAGGATGTAAGCCATATTGGCTTGGAGTCGGTCCCCGCGGGGTTACATCGCAGCAGGAATTTGCACCTGGTTCCGGAAAGGATTTATGGGTTCACAGCCATTATATTCATTGTTATAATGGCATACAACTATTTAAATAGATATGTTTTCATAGTTAAATCAACAACGGAAAAATACCCCCATCGGCTACGTGAGTATTTTTGGGTTTATCGTGATTTTTCAACTGTTCTTTGCATCACGGTCTCCCCCTGGTAACAATCGTCTCGCTCGTCACCACAATCCTCGTCGCCGACCCACTATCCCCTGTTCTGAATTCGCCGGAGTTGTCGGTAGAGTGACGTCCCATAGCCGCGACACAGATATCCCGTTGTCCTCGATGTGCTCCCATCCTGCCTAATTCCAATTCGTTCAACTCATCAAGGAACTCGTTCATCTCTGTGAATCCAGATAGATATATGGGGTGTTGGGGGCTGCTCCCGCGCCAGGCAGGCATCTTCATCTCGTTTCCTTTTCTTTCCAGTCGGGGCCCTGGTTTAATTTTTCCGTCTTCGCCAGAAACCTTCCAAACATCTTATCCGAGACTGGTTTAAGTAGCGGACTGCTCGAAACGATGATAGCTACGCCGCACTCAACCGCACTATAGGTGGTCACATTGACGGCAGTGTATGCGGTATCTGTAAACTCTACCTGAAGAACTTCGTAGAGGCGTACTGCTCCGAAAATCATGGTGCTGCAAGAGTTAAATACATGAATCCCCTGGATCTGGGGTCAAGACAAAACTCACAGGATACCAGCCCCGAACATACACCCAATGAGGACCTTGTATCGTCGATGAACATGTATTTTCCATATCATGGGAATCGGGAGAAGGAGCATGCTGAACTCGTTGATCACATCAATGATGCCAACTGACGAAAATGCCGCCACTTGGTCGCCGCATCTACCACCCGGTGTTGCTGGATCCCAGTTCATCTGTATCGGCTGGCAAATCAGGATACCGATGAGCATTGTCAGGATCATCCAGGCGATCGAAAATCCCATAACAATGACGCCTGCAATTTGAAACCGGCGAACGAAAAAGATACGCATGAACATTCTGATGATGCTGATCTTCACCAAGCCCATTGACGCTGCGTAAAGGAGTTGACACGCGTATGTAGCCTGGAACACCGAGTTAGATTGTCTGGGGTTTATTCGCAAAATAAAAGGAAAAATCACCCACTTTGGAAAGACGAACTACATGCCAGGGTTGGAGTTCATACATGTGATGCCCCATACCACCAACGAGGACCATCACAAAGTTATTGGCAACCAGGCCATAGAATATGATGACAGCGGCAAGATTCAACCCATCTTCCAACATGAAGGGCCTTCCTATTTCCTTGCGACTCCAGTATCGCATATACGTCCATAGCGCAGTGAGGAACAAGAGAACTATGCCGGATCCTATGATGCGCCATCCTTCGGTTGAGGGAGGCACGAGACCAGAGTTGAAGATTTCGACCGGGTTTTCGGTCTCGTTGGTGAAAATGGCCAGTCTAGGCTCTAGAGACATCTCGGCCGCCATGGCATGGGGAAAACCGGCAGGTGTGGGACTTGCAGTTGGCAATGTCGACCAAATAAGACACTGGCGACGGACGAACAGGCCAAAAGAAGAATAAATGGCGGAGTTGATCAAATGCATCAACCAATGTGTCATCCATTGGGGGCGTCAGCTAATTTGAACGTCAACATCTTCAAGCGACGTCCCCGATAGGATCCATGAATGCGTCGTTGATGCACACGTTGGAGTCTTACATGTTGGAAAGCGACCAATTGAAATTAGAGATAGCGTCACAGTTGGTTTTCGGCGAATACGGCGAGTAAGAAGATTATGTCACTTGCATTCATTTAGCAGAGTGTACTACTCCAAGCTGACAGTCCTTGTCTCACAAACAGGCTTGTGATTTGGAGAATGCTTCATCTTGGGTAGCGCCAAATGCATGCTACCCTACTTCAAAATGCTTCTTCGCATGGAGTTGACCGAGAGTTTCTACTTCCAACCCAGGGCTTCGTCAAACATGATGTTGAGTCATTCTACCTTGGGGCAAAATCGACCCTCTCTTCTCGCTTGCGATTCTACTGCCAACCGCGCTGGACACTGTTGGCTGAAAGATTCATCCCTATTATCATCCTCTACTTCATAGCGACAACTTACAAGACATGGGCTGAGAATGGGATGAATCATATCATTCAATAACATAATGACCTCAAAGGGGCTGTCCGGTCGATATCAGCGGCACGTGATGAACTTGGTGAATGTTCAACATATGCGTTCCCCGGCGGTTTCGCCATATCCCACCTCTCCCCTCTCCCCCAATCCCCCAGTAACCGTTGATAATAGGATGGATGTGCATGTGCTTATTACCTGGGTATATATTACGTGCAGAGTACTTATGTAGGCAATGTCTCTACTGAATCCTACCCATACCTGTCAAAAATTAATAACGCAGACCCTATCCAGAAATACAATACCCTTCTAAGCAAAATAGGGCGACACCTTTAAAAATTCGAGGCAAGAATCAGCGATAAGGTACTGAAGCGATCTCGAGATGTTATGAGAATGTGGTTTTTGGAAGCTAAGGCTTTCCTCAAGTAGTATTGAAACGAACTATAGTCACTACGAAGGGCAACAAACCACAATATACACTACCCTCACTCTCCTCATGTCAAATTCTACAGACATCATAATTGTTCTGCGACAGATAAGCGACCTTGCAGCGTTGGTTGAGCTCTTCAAAGCCACCTATCAGGCCAGCAACTACCCGGTTGATGGGCCACCAGGTCATGACGACATAGACCGGTGGCTCCCGGTGTATTTAGGAGGTGATGCGCTGGTAGAAATACTCGCCCTGGTACCTTGCCGTGCTGAGGACTCTGAAGCTGGGGCGAACAATGGCGCCAGTAGGGAGAAATCCATGAAGCAACCACAGACGTCAGCCTCGCCTCCTGGTCGAAGGAAAGTCCTGGGACACGTCAGTCTGAGGCGTGTTTCCGAGAACTCAATCACCAGCAAAATGTGGCGTGATGCTGGTTTCAGTCATGACGGCGACTTATGGGAGGTTTGCCGACTTGCAGTTGATCCGGATTTTCAGGAAAAGGGGATAGGCCGTCGATTATTGGAGGCTACTGAGATAGAGGCGCAGAAATCTGGAGCGAAGTTGGTACTGGGAGTCCTGGAAAAGGACACGGTTGCTATTCGGATGTACGAAAGGAAGGGTTGGAAGGTGTTTGGGAAGGACAAGTTGGTCAGACAAGATGGAAAATACCATACTGAGTACTTTTATATTCATGAATCGGACAACCGAGGTTTAATTATTAGCTAGTATGTTATTAAACTCTAGTTGAGTCCAGCCTCGTTCTTTTCGGAGTCACCACTTAACTCAGCTATTCAATATCGAGCTTCACCAAACATAGATGCTGTCAGAGTGCTGGATGCGCGGCACCGGTTGAGCACCTGTGGGGCACCGGTATAGGGACGTGCGAGTCATGGCCTAATATGGAAGTCTTGGTGCACTGAAGAATCGGAAGAACTAGTGCTCTACGGCTCCAACCCCGCGCTCTAGCTATCTATGCAAGGGAAGGTATCTGGGAAGAAGATAGGAAGATTAGAGATCAATGAACCACTTTGAGCAGCCCTACCTGAGACCGCTAGTGACCGCCGGTGACCACCCGGTGCTAAGCAGGATGGACGCCCATTGCTCCCCATCACTCTGTACTATTGCCTTCGGCCTATCCGTACCCTGACAGATACCATCGTTAAGCCGCATGCAGTAATGGAGCTACAAAGAGCTGAGGCCTTTATGTTACTAGTGTGGCAAGTTGTGGCCTGAGGTGTGGAGGGGTACGAGGCAGGCAGGCACGCGTTGCAGTATTTAGAGATCCCTCGAGGCCAACTTGGAATTGCTCCTTCACACACCTTCATAGTATCAATACAGCCCCTGGTACTTGGATTCCGATAGAAAAAATACATAACCATGAACCTCGAGCACCTACGGATTGATCTAATAGATCGAGAGGTCTCCTTTAACCCCCCAGGAACTATTAAAGAGCATGACTCCAGGAATCCTAGGATCCCCCACTCCTACGACTGTGGAAGCTAGCATGGAATTCTTAAGGTAGCAAGTTACTCCATACGTCTTCTAGATGTTACGTGGGTTAAGTAGATGAGGAAATGCGCATTATAAATAGGGTATGGCCTGCGTTGCGCCTGTAATTAGGCTGTTTCTAGAATTACTAAAGCAGGGGCGTTGCTAAGGCCAATTAGTACGGTTAGTCTATCTAGCAGTTAGCGATGATTCTATTAGTCTATCTCTTTATACTAGTAGCGTATTCCTATTGTCACGACCTGGGTTGCATCGCATTGTTAGAGACCTCGATTAGGTGCTATCGATGAAGATTCTACTCTAAGGAGCGAAGGAAAGAAGATGACAACTTAGGTTTGAGGGAGCGCGACTAAGTCGTCCACGCTTGGCGGGGCTCCTACAGGGATTATGATTGGCTTCACATCTGGCACTGCCATGACAGGTGTTCCAGCTGTAAGTCACCTGGCTGTAGTGAGTCTGCGAGGGTTGACCTTCACACCTATTAGGACGTTTCCCTGTAAAAGTCCATGCGCTTGTAGTTTCTTACCGCTATAAATATATATAGGTGTGCCACAGCCTGAGTGGTAACCGACGTATGCAAGGAATCTGACCCAGCCAGTAGTGTCTAACCTGGCCACGATTGATTGATTGATTGATTGAAATTTAACGTCTCATCACGTGAGACGTGCCGGGCGCAGTGCCGGCATGGTCTATGCTAGTCGAATCTATGTTACAGGGGACTGTCTTCATCTAACATTCCTGTTCAGTGCGATGGGCAGAAACCTGGCCACGAGGATCCACAGGGGATGAAAATAATGTACGAAGAGATATTAAAGGTCATGTGATTAGATCATTAGAACCAGTAGTGATCCAGATAATCTAGTAGATCAGTAAAGGAACGAATAGCTATATGAAGGACAGATTCCCAGGCTTTTATAGTAGATGGTTCTTACTTCAGTAATTAATCTAAGCATCTGTATAACCTATAGGTGAGGCCTATCAAGCCTTAACTATTATATATTTATTAAACCATTCTTCAATTAGTTTCAACACGCACTGATTACTATTAATCAAGACCCCACCAGCATTGCTTACCTTACTAGCACAAACCCTACAGCACCCTTCGGTGATTCAGAAGCTAGACCATAGGGGTGTCGTCACAGTGGAGCAGAGTTGCTAACAATTGTGCCTTAACTGTCGTCACCTTCTTGGACACTAGCCTTATCTATATTGTATTCGTTCTTCGGCTAGATACGGTACTCATGGCGGACTAAGTCGCGAACCTTCTGGGAATTGGTCGTGCGTACCCTCGATGTCCTAACACGGTGCACAGTTTTAGCGTGGACTTGAGGGTTATGCGACAGAGAGCCCCAAATCCGTGAAGAGCCGACTGGCGTGTAGTCTCCTTAAACCTTGAGGACTTCGGTAGCGAATTCGGCAACATACTTCTTGGAAGGGGCGCGCCCACGAAATTATTTATGCAGGATCCAAGTGACGATAGTCTCTTCTTGTTCGGGTAACAGCTTCTGCGGGTAGTTGGCTTCGGCGCAGTGTGATAGGGCGTTGTTAAGTCGCCTGGACAGAGTGGATGGCTGTATGTCGTATCGGCTGGCCGCCACCGCCATGGACTAGCGATCAACATCGTCTGGTTCAAACTCCGGCTCAAGTATGACTATGTGGTTGTTGAAAAATTGGAGATTGAAGTTAAGAGCGTTACTGTGTTAATGATACAATTTCACTTGCCAAAGGGGATCAATGGCCAATGCCGTTACACGTTCAGCAGCAGACTGTGCAACTTCTTCTTTGTTTCCTTCCACGGCAATGTAGCAAGTGGCGCGTAGTAGAGGTTTCTTTCATCTTGTTAGATGGGTGATCACGTGAGCACTGAGTGGTCTCAATTGGAGTCTTGTGTTCGCAGTTGGAACATGCGGGTAAAGGCGTCGCAGTCTTCGCCCAAACCCCGCCAGTCGGAACAATATCGGCCTGCGAAAATCCGTAGGCACACATCGTCACTTTGCTGGGTCATCAGCATAATAACGTCACAGTGCTGCTGCAAGAGGAGGTATTTGCTGGCATCTGCATGTGGTGTCCACGCAGTGCTGCCGCACAAGATGCCCCCGTACTTTGTCCGTTCTCAGATGTAATCGAGAAAAAACTTCAAGACCAACCAGCAGGCCATGGCGGTATTGGAACTTTTGACAGTGTGTAGTCATGTCAACTCCACCTGCTATCGAATTTCCTCCTAATTCAAAGCTACGATTCCAGTTGTTAGTGTCTCTTTTCCTCCGTAGCCCTAAGATAGGCGCTCCGAGAATAAGAATGAGCTTGGCCAATCTGGGAGTAGCACGAGCTTGTCTTACGCTTACTTGACCCCATGCAAAGTGGGCAGCGGACCAACCCAGTGCCTTATCCAGATTTGATCTGGGTCTCTTTGGGGGCCCTTCCCTTTCACTGTCCACTGGCTGGCCGCTGCTGCCCAAGCCCAAGCAGCCCCAAGTAAAGTAAAACCACGCGGTGACGCTTGCACCATCAATTCTATTGGGTTCGAGTGCGGCAATCGCTGGGCGCCTGGGTTCGCCGAGTTGCAACTGTCTTTTCGCAACCCACGTCGGGCTGACATACTGTCTGACTGTCTGCTATTCTTCATCCTGGAAAGTCCAAGTCTATCTTCGGCTTCATCCAACATATACACCACCATTGTTTCACCGTTCACTGCATTTTAGACGACAAAAAAGAGATACCCACTGCGGCGCCGGGCCCAGTCACTGCGACCGACTGAATCGCGACCGCATTTGCATATTTTGGCTGGTGTTGGAATAGCCACAGGGCTCCAAAGGCCCGATAAACAGTCATTTTAGGAAAATAAGGCCTTTCTGGCCTCACAGAACAACCCACGAACCAGGCAGGCCATCGTCCTCGCGTCGCCCTCTGGCTCGCTTTCCAAGGCACCGCCGATCGTCCGCAGCCTTCTGGACCCTGATAAGCGACAACTTAGGCTGATTACGACAGGACGACGCATTTCGTATGCTGACCCGCAAAACCCAGACCTTTACAACAACCCCACACATTGCCGGCGCAGTCACATAGTCGGTCACCAGCTGGGCACGCCGCCTAGCATACGCCGCCGTCATGTTCTGGAGATTTGGCGGTTACGCCAACATCTCCACCATCGATACCATCCTCGATAAAGAAGGCTTCCAACTCGAAGATCTCCTCGACGAGAGCGACCTGATCCAGGAACTGAAGCAACACAATACGAAGCTCATCGAGTTCATGCGACGAGAGGACATTCTGCAGAAGCTCTTGGAATACGTTGTCGCACCCAAGCTCGAGCCCGTGGAGAACCCCGACGAGAAGGAGGAGGAAGAGAAGAAGGGCAAGTCCCGCCTATCCTTCAGCCGACCCCGTGCCTCGTCGCGGGCTACAAACGATGGCGAAAATGAAGAAGACGAGGGCGAAAAGAAGAGAAACCGGTATGCGTACGTGGCGGCCGAGGTGCTGTCTTCCGACAACTGGTCCATCTATGAGGCTCTAATGGAGAACACGGCGCTGCTGCGTAAATTCTGGAATTTCCTCAAGCTTCCTGCGCCTCTCGATCCCCTTCAAGCGAGTTACTTCACCAAAGTCAACGAATCCCTGTTCGACAAAAAGACCGAGGACATGGTCGAGCTGCTGAAGTCTCTCGACGGCGCGGTACCTGACATGCTCAGACACGTTGACTGTCCCATGATCATGGATCTGCTGCTAAAGATTATCAGCCTCGAGCGAACTGATAGTGGTCAGGGCGTAGTCGAGGTAATTGACGACACTTCCTCAGATTTCATGACCAATGACCAGACAACTAACAAACCCATTTATGTGGTGCAGTGGCTCTACACGAAAGACGTTATGCCAACTTTGCTCTCTTTCCTCGGGCCTGAGCACAGCTGGGCTACGCAAACATCGGCCGGCGACTTTATGAAAGCTATCATCACCGTATCTGCCAATGCCTCCCAGAACGAGCAGGCCTGTATTGGCCCCAACGAGCTTACGCGGCAATTGGTCTCGACAACATGCGTCGAACAGCTGATACAATACATGCTCGGTGGTGGGAACCCTTTAACAGTAGGTGTAGGTATCATTATTGAAGTCATCCGCAAGAACAATTCCGACTACGACCCAGAGGTTGGCCCAGATAACAATGCAGCACCGTCGAGTCGGGATCCCATCTACCTCGGTACCCTCCTTCGTTTATTCGCCGAACACATCCCCGATTTTATGACCCTGATCATGAAGATGCCCGCCCAGGGGCAGCGTCTGGACTCGACATTCGGAGACAAGATAGAGCCTTTGGGCTTCGACCGGTTCAAGACGTGCGAGCTCATGGCAGAGCTTCTGCACTGTAGCAACATGGCGTTGTTGAACGAGATTGGATCAGAACAACTCATTGCTGTCCGAGACGAGGAACGTCGGAGGATGCGAGCCGAAGGTCGACTGACTGTCAGTCGGGGCGAAGAGGCACAATCGTCTGAGGATCTCGTAATGCGCGGCCGGCATTCGTCACCGGATGATGGTCGTCGATTAGAGGTTACTAATGCTTCCGACGATGACGGCTTCGAAGAGGTGACACCCGCTGGCGAGATGACTGAGGATACTTCTCATGAATTTGTCAAGGCAGAGGAGGAGATCCATGCCGGTCCTTCTGCATCATTTCTTGATAAGGACGATGACGACTTTGTAGACGAGCCGCTGAGCTCCCCTAGACTTAACGTCCAGGAGGGCAAAGTCAACGAGCAACAGTTCGAAGAGCCGGATCTAGCCCCGGCGCCCCTGTCTCCGAGGAAACCACCCGCGCTCCTCAGCGTAGCGCCTTCGAGCGGTGATGCGATTGTGGAGTCGGCGGATAACCAGGCGGCAACCGCACTTGACAACATCATGTCTGAATCGGAAACGTCTAAGACACAGGAATGGGGCCAGCCCATCGATCGAGGTTCCCAGGCAGATGCTCAGACGGCGTCCGAATACCGAGACACCGAGCCCAAGTCTGAGCCAATAGAAGTGGATACAGACACGAAGGCTCCGGCGCCGGCTACCGAGCAAGCGTCCGCGACGGTCTCCGGCGAACAGTTGCCGGCTACCGCGGATCAGGCCATGCCTGATGTATCCGAGACGGGTGAAGTTTCCATCATCGTTGGACACCAGGCCGATGCTCAACCGGCTGGCGATAGTCATCTTAAACCTGTGGTAGGAGATTTTCTCAAAATGCAGTTTGTGGAGCACAAGGTCGTCCCGACAATACTGGTAAGCCATGTACATGCTTTGGGCGACCGTACGTATGCTGACCTTAGCCCAAGTCGTTCTTTTTCAAGTATCCCTGGAACAACTTCCTTCATAACGTGGTCTACGATATCGTGCAACAGGTGTTTAATGGACCCATGGACCGCGGATACAACTCCACTTTGGCCATCTCGTTGTTTGAGGCTGCTGACGTTACCAATTCCATCATCAATGGCCAACTTGCTAGTGAAAAGTCACAGGCAGAGACCAAGACTCGCATGGGCTACATGGGGCACTTGACCTTAATCGCCGAGGAGGTGGTTAAGTTCACTGAGCGTAACCCACCCGATCTCCTGTCCGAGCTGGTGGTGGAGCGAGTAATGAGCCAGGACTGGATTAACTATGTCGAAGGAGCACTGGCGGAGACACGAGAGAGGGATAATGCCATCCTGGGCGGTGTTAGACCCGAGGTCGCTATGAGCAACCGAGCGGCGCTGGCCGGTAATGGCTTGGGAAGCATGGGACTGTCTAGTCTCGGCTTGTCGCAGGGAGGATCGAACGCTCTTGCAGAAGCCGGACTCAACGGCAGTGGAAGCTTGGAAGACAACGGCAGTGGCAGTAGTTTGGGGCCTTTTAGTATAAGCCACGGTATACTGTCCGGCGGCTCAGGCTTTAATTCGAGTGACGAGGAAGACGATGAATCCGAGGATAATGAAGAAGACGTCAATAACGAGGTTAGTGATTCCCTTATCCCTGACGACAGTCAGACACCACTTTCACCAAGCACACCGAGGAATGTATCCCGCGCCGCGGCGGCTACTAGGGCACTCAGCTCCGTCTTGGGGGGGAACGACGAAATCGAGTAGAACCACCGGGACCGACACTGGGGGATGCGAACAGCCGCTACCGGCATCTGTCGATTGTGTGGTGTACGAAAGCTGGTCCCAGGACGTTGAATCCACCCTAGGTGAGCTCTGGCCAGATGCATGGCCAAAGCTCGTCTATGTTGGTTTCACACCATCAATTTCCGTGGATGTTCTGCCAACCTGTCGACTGGAGAGGCCAGGCAACCAGGTTGTGGTCACGATTTGTCAGGAATTCATTCACGCATATTTATTCAAATTATGGACACCCAAACCAACACTTGTCACCGGTCTTTCAACCATCAGAGATATACAATCAGCGATAGGGTAGTAGCAGCCGAGGATTAAGTATCCATAGTTGCCGCTAGTTCACTCGTTGCATCGATATATCCTGAAGTTGTGACCACACTCCTGGGAATGGCTTGTCCCCTAGAAAGCCACGATGGCTCGAAAAACCTTGGTTCCTCCTGGACGGACGGACTGGATACTTCCTCCCACGTGCTCAAATCACTATTTCAAACTCTCTGTTATATAGTCCCTGCTTCATGGCAGGAAAACGGGATTGCGAGCTAATATTGTCCTAGTTTCGTGCGTACACCGACCCCTTAAACGTGTCTTCGACATCTATGAGCCCGCCTTCCATTCCACCTCCCCCACCTCCCCCTCCTCCGTTGAACACCCCTCCTTCCCGTGCACGCTTGCAGTTGGCTGCTCGACTTGCAATGCATCAGAAGGGTACTGCGACGACCCAGTCGCAGTCCACTGAGATCGAGAATGGCGATGACGATAACGATGACGACGATAGCGCCAGGCTCACTAAGGAACCGGACAGCATGTTGAAAGATCCTTTCGCAGACGATGCCGAAGACGACGACAGCGATGACGGTCTTGGCGATGAGGGCGGAAACGCTGGTTCGTGGAACGCCCACAGCCGAGGGAGCTGGTGGCGAAACACACTGTCACGGAAAGGCAAGGAAAAGTTTGGTGACGGACGAGATGACGATTCCGACTCGGACAAAGACGATCATGCATTGGAGGACGAGGAATTCGGCGACTTTGCCATGCCCGAGGTAGACAAGGAAGGTAGTGGTGATGCCGCTGCTGCTACAAGTGCGAACACCGTAGTCGTCAAACCGCTACCTCTCCACCCGCCTAGCCAGAGTCAGAAGAGCTCTGCGTTCACGAGCCTGTGGCCTTTTAGCAGCCAAGGCTTCGGGTCCAAGGATAAGGATAAAGACAAGGAGAGGGAGAAGTCCAAAACGGATGACAGTGCTCCGGCTGCTGCGGTTAGCAGCACCGCTAGCGAAAGGGCCGCGTCGGAAGAGCCGGATGAGATCACGAGCGAGGACGGTTCAAAGATCAAGAGTACCCACGAAGCTGCACGCCGAACTAGTATTGAGGATCCTGATGAGGAGGAAGTTGTTGTCTAGGGGACGAGGCACGTGAACACAAAAACGTATCACGACAAGAACTAGCGCAATGACGACGGCGTCGGCGTCGGCGTCGGCGTCGAGGGAGGCCTTGATGGGGCCTTTCACGTTCCTGCCCTCAAGATACCCACCCTGATACCCGAGAATGGCGTGACGGATGTTGCAACTGATGCTGCGGATAGACCGAGATATGTATGATGTTTGAAAGGTTTATGAAGTCCAATGTGATGAGAGCACGTATGAAGGGTGGTATATCGCGATGAGAGGAAGCACTTAGCGGTGAATGAGAGAGTGAGTAGGGAAGAGAGTAGAGACAGTACTTGCCGCAATACCGCGGACCGGCCAGACAGACTCTCGGTGCTCTTTGTATCATATATGTATGTTTGTGTGCTCTTTGTATTGCGTTGATATCTTGCGCTTCGCTAGTACCGGGTGCGCTTCATTCTTGCGAGGTTCAGTTGGGCTAGGAGGGTTTGTATGTAGCTCGTGTGTGTACCTTGAAACGAGAGGTCTCATTCGAGTTGACTGATTAGTTTACCAGTGCGATGTGGGCGTGAATTTGTAATTTGTGGTTCTAATGTGTGCGGCGAAATGAATGATGCGATTCGATTGTATTGTAATTGGACTTGTGGATGTGGCTATATTTGATTCCTTCAGGGGCCCATGGCTAATCTACGTCGCAGATGGACACACCGAGTCTAGATATGATCCCCCCTTCAAGGTGGGGCGGTAACGGATACTACGTGAGGTAGAAGATTATCTATCCTCTGCTCCAGTGTCGACTTTTACTGAGTGGAAGCTGTGGTACTGCATACATTTCCAAGAGCTTATGGCACAGCCTTGACTCTCGGGGGAACTGGATTTGTACTCCGTCATTAGCCGTTTGAGCATCTGCTGATGATCCTGGAGAGTACTCAACGCGCCGTTCCTGTAGACGGTAACGGTACGGGATAGGCGGCGCTAGCAGGTTCACCGACCGCCCTTGCGGCATATTGTTTTCAGACTGCTGAGATATCCTTTCAAAAATGCAACCGGGAGGGAGATGGTATCCATCGGGTCTCTGTCGTGTCGTATAATCTTATGGGAGACTACGGCCTGGACCATTTGTTATCTGAATTGGTACACCCGTGCTGGACGACATCGCTGTGCGTTCATCGTCCGAGCATACTCACGTCCACCGAATCCATTACATCAAAATCAAATGGGTAGATGCCTCGTTAATTTACTCAGCCATGCTGTATGTACAACGAGCAATATCGAGAATCTTTCTGCGGATGAAGCTGATTTGTAAGTCGCTAGCCACTACTTGCCTCTGCGACCTGACTTTACTCAGCGCCACGGCAAAACGGATCGCGTCACAACCGACTATTCTCGCCCAACGAGCTCTGTAAGTCTAAAACTATGCTGACATTTAGGTCTCGTTCTATTGAACTCGGCGTGGGTCTATACCCTCGTCTCTATCCAATTTTCCACTTCATCGGGAGTCCACTCGCCGGCATCTATCAAGGTTTACCAGAATTTATGCTTCGCCAACTACCGTGACAAGATTAAGGTCATGGTCAAGGTCGAGCCCACATTTGTGAACGGTACCACCCCCTTGGACCCGAAGCTTCCGTGGACCCGGAGCTTCCGTGGAACATGGGGACGGATACTTCAGACGGTCGCGGAGTGGAAATACGCGTACAAGCATTATTCAGTTATTGAGTCATGTTTAACTTTTACATATTAAGCACCTTTCTTCGTGGTTTATATGTTCCCCAGTTTCAAGTCAAATGCCAAACTCTAATACTGTAGCGTCGCATCGTCATCCCAAGAAATACTGAACGACAACGTCCAGGACCTGGCGCAGGGTCCCGGAGGTAAGCATCCAAGGTTCCAGTTGAGACATGGGATTTGAGAATAGCATATAAGGGCCGGCATTCATCTTACCTTGCGCAAGAAATCAATTGCCGGTACATGGAGATGGCATTGCCCACGCTGGACTTCTCTATCCGGACGAGGTGGGCGATACAGCCTTTTTCCGTGATTGGCGTTTGCTGCCTTGGCACATTTCATACGGGGACTGCATGGACGGGATATCCCAACTGGAGCCATTTACGTACGCTTGGCTCAGTAAGGAATCGTTCACATGACATGCGGCAGTTTGGTAATTAGGTGTTCCGCGGAGCGGGTCTAGAGGCGATTATTGCCCTCATTTACTGCTAGCTATCAAAACGTCATGGAGAGGCGTATCTGGGGCGCTGGACTATGTCGCCTCGATATGCCATGCGTGCGGTACGATGTGAGATGTCCGTCCGCCCTCGAGCTGGGCAGATACCGCACAATATTATGCCATGGTGTTCTTTTCCATCGTGTACATGAATACAAGCGATAGGGCCTTGGGTCACATATGTCACAGAGTCACCAATCCATATTCTGCCGTGATGCCTCGTCGCGACCATGTTTTCCTACTCACTTTGATATAGTGCGGCGTGGCAGTAAGATGGCGCGGTCAGGTTTGCAGCCGCTCTGCATTAGTCCAAATCCAATTAACGTTGTGATTACTATGAAATCATTACTATGAAATAATGGTGACTTTCAAGGTTAACTTGAGCAGGAATGTCAAGCCCCAGTGGTGTTGCAACAGGAATGACTGCGGTTGCCGCCGCAATGATGCGCGTGCGGCAGTGCGGCACGGCGCTGCGTCCCATTCTATTGGGTGGGAGTTGAACTGCGCCGGCGGCCATAGGCAAGTTAGTGGGCCGTGGGACTGAGGAGGACGTTGGCGTTGATGACGATTTCTGAAATTGGGGTCGCAACTAGGGTCTTCAATCGGAAGCGGGCTCGGTCGTTTCTGACTTGGTCATGGATCCAACAAGATGGAAACACTTCATTGCACCTCCTGTTGGCGTGAAAGCGAGTGCGGCGCATAATTGCTGACTGGGCGAGCTGTCAAATGCCCCGCGAGGGTAGTCGCCGTATCGAAGTTGACAGATTGCAACTCCCATATCGTGGACAGTTGCGTGCGATCCTGTTGCTGCTGTGTGCTGCTGTCTGCTGCGGGTGACGTCGACCTGACATGGTGTGGTATCGGCGAAGGACTACGCGCCGTGTGGGTGTATGCATCGCGTCATCCAGTGGGATGCGACGGAGATTTTGACTCAGGCGACCAAGATCAAGCCCGAGGCTTGCATGAGTTCAGCATAGAGTTTGGCCTAGGAAGAGCTTCGGAACCCTCCCGCCCCACGTGGTTCCAACGCACGTCTGGGGCTTACGGTCCAGCCTGTTGGGACGGCGCTCGGGAAAGCCAGTGGTTTACCAGTCTCAGATCCGCATAAGCGCCGGACAGGTCGTTGGGGGCGGTTCATTGCACTTAGGAGGGCACTTTGACAAGTGAACCCTTGGCCGTCAAATTACCCCGAGATACGATCTCGTGGTTGAAGGCTTAATTCTGGTGACAGCAGAAGAGGAATCGCAACACCTCTCGGGACGTTAGCGATCCGAATCACACCACACCACTTGAGGTGCAGCAAGGCAGCCGTGTCGAACTCCACCATAACCATCTAAAACTATTGTCAGTGGAAATTCCCCGCCACGGCAGCCGTAGGATGTCTCGGATGGACCTTTGTGGCCCCGTTTACGACGCAGGGTGATGGCAAAAAACCCTCAAGTTGCCAGCGCCATGGCTTGCGCAAATGATGTGTGACCCGGCGGCGTGACGGTGCAACTTGTGTATGAATGCAACATTGGGGCCGTTCGGTGCTGAGGTCACATCGGGAGGTATGGAAATAGACAGGATGGCTGGCAGGCATCTACAATATGTCACCCGCTCACTTGTGAATCCACTTGGGGGCAGCAAGGTCGGTGACGCCAAGATGCATGGCTTGCCATCTGCAATGGCCACATATTAACAACTGTCAATGCTTGTTTCTTGACCAGAGCCCACCAGAGCTTCCCGAATATCGCGTTGATCATCTTGTGGTCAGCGCTTTCTCTAACCGCCGCGGCAAGTGCTTCGAGTGAAGTTCGTTTCTTCCCGTTGAGTTTAGACTGTTCAGCGGGAATCGCTCCTAGCGCTTGTATCCAGCGCAGTGGAGCCGTGACTTGGCTGGGGTCTAGCCGTTGCAACGGGTTTTCAAGGCTGATAGGAGCTCTGTGGCTGCGCCACTGTAGAATATGGAGCTAACAACCGGCCATAAGCTTTGGAGCTCCAGGTGTCCAGATGTACCGATTGATTGCCAGGACTGAGTGTAGTCGAGTATCAAGCATATATACCGAGAGAGCCAGAAGGCGTGTCGTACGTGCCTATCTCGATCTACGTAGACGTAGATGACGTCGAGTTCCTTCGAGCTTCAGTGCCGTGCACAACTGGGTATCGAGCTTCCGAGATGGTAGCCGAAGATAGTGAGGACATTGTAACGACTTCTCCAGACCTGGCTATTTGAAATGCTGGCTGGGCTTTCTGGCTCTAGCAGTAGTGAATAGCAAGGTCTCCCATGTCAAAGCGCACCTCTTGTCATGTGCAACATCGAGTAGACGGGAGGGTTCAAGTGACTATTGGAAATGAATGTGCTGGGGGCTTTGGAATGACGTCGGGTTACACAAACACCTGTCCTTGACAATACTGCCCGCGCCGCTGTGAATGAAGATCGGCGATAGACGCGATAGCTGTGGGAGAATCCTTCAGAGCTTGGCGCAACCAAACTGATAGTTGTATCCCTGGTATATGACGGAGATGTTGCAGCCAGCAGAGTCGTCGATACTCAACGTGCAGTCGATCCGTCGGCCAGACTGCAGTTTATTTGCTCTCTTTGGACGTCGTGTTGACCATGGATAATGGTGGAGTGGTCGGTGATCGGTGTTGGCGATCGGTGTTGGCGATCGGTGTCGGTGGTCGGAACGGCATGTGCAAGCGAGGGTGCGAGGTCACACATGCTCAGGCGTTTGCAAAAAGCGCAGACTGACAAGCGCGATGACATGCAAATAACGACATTGGATGGACAAGCGAATATGTCTGGGCTTCCCGTTCTTGCTATGAAATGAAGGTATTGACTGTATGTGGGGAGTCCCCCACTGCGGCTTCCGCAGCGCCACCGCCGCCCGCGAATCTAGCCCACACCGAGTTTAGTGGCATTCCTACACATTCCTATTTTAGTTTGGAAAAGCACACGGACTTACACCCGAGAAGCACCCAGGACACCCACCAGTGAGGCTGCTTATGGCCGCAGCCAGCCCCCATCGGCTTATGCGCGATTATGGGTAGCAAACAATGAATTCCATTTCAGTTCAAGTTCAGTGTTTCCTAAGGAGGCAACTGTTGACCCCCCTCCCCCCCAAACACCCCCCTGTCGACCTGATGGGCTGCCGCGTATGTTGGGCCTTCGCTGTCCACTCCACAACCGCGAGAGCAACACGTATCCTTGAGTACAGCTCGACTTATCAGGACGGGTCGCCAAGCTGACTCGCAAAGTCATTCGCACCACCCTGGATCCTCCAGCGACAATCTCTCCAACCTCATTAGGCTTTCTTTGCTGACTGGCTCGTTATGTTTCAGAGAGGTGCCCTGGTTGCTACCATTGGCTGTACCCGCATTTGCGTCTTCTTAGTCAGGCTGCATCGACATCCGGTGTGCGTGCTGCGCCCAGGAACCATGGACCCAGAGACAAGACCCGGCCCACCAGGGTCCCGTCTGTTATTAGTTGCCGTGGCATGAATGACCTGTGTACGGATCGGCCTGCAGACAAGCCTCATTCATATTCATGATTCCCTCCTTTCCCCTGGTCATTCTATTCCTCTTCCTTTCTCTCCCAACTCTTTCCCCGCCTGTGACTCCGCAGTCGGTTGACGACTTGAAGCTCTCTGGCGAACAGTTATTTTCGAGGCCTTCGAATTGCATTTCAATCGGTGGCGTCTCGTTTGCTCTCTTCAGTGAGATGCAACAAGCCAAGATACTAATTCGTCCCATCGTTGCTGACCCCCCGCAGCCATCTCACCATCCTCATGTTTTAAGGACACTAGATTCTCACCTAATTTTATTTCGCGTTAGGACCATGGCGAACTTCCTATCTCTCGCGCCTATTGACACCTCGCTGGACATGTTCAACGAAGAACCGGAAAAGCAGACGGCGCCGTCCATGCCGAAGATCGACGTGAGGCGAAACCCTCTACCGCGCATTACCACCAGTTTTTCAGCATCGGGGGCAAGAATTACTCAAAAGGAACTACTGAGAAGATCTGCAGCGGCGGCAGTGGCAGAGGTGGCCGATGCCCTCGGTATATCCCCGAGCGAACTGCCCGAGTCGATGTACAGTCAAGCCAGTCCCCAGATCAACCACCAACAGGTCCGTAGGACGAGCTCCGTCTACCTTTCACCGGTCGACAGTATTTGGGGTTTTCCTCCCACGGACCGCACGACGGAGCAAATCTTGAGGTCTGCATTAGCGGATGTACTTGGTCTGGACGTCCACACCATCGCCCGCGACGCGTCCTTCTCGGATTTGGGAGGAAATGCGCAAGCGGCGAAAGCTGTACGCAACGACTGCAGGCAGAAAGGTCTGTTCATCAGGACTCGAGACATACTTACTTGCAAGACGATAGCCGAGTTGGAGACTCGCGCTATTCCGTTAAGCCCGAACCCCTCACAACCAACCAGCAGCCACTCAGTACCGCCTTTGATAGTGAGCCCGCTCCAGCTCACCTCGCCCGTCAGCAAGTTCAACACGGCCATGTCGATTTCTTCACCACAAGCTCAGCTTTCCGCAGGGTCCAAGTCTCCGCCGGGAGCGCGAGGCCAGCCACAACTACAGCCAAAGTCGTCGAAGCGGCATCACAATCAGGTCGAACAAGTGCTATCCTTGAACGGCGATGTATCCAAGGCTGTCGTATTAAAGCCAAAGGCTGGCCTGTTTGAGGGCCAGTCCGTGGCCTTCATCACTTTGTCCAGCTGCGTTATCGAGGGACCGAGCAAGTGTGAAATAAAGCCCCTGAGTGCCTATTACACCAGCAGGCTGCCGACGATTCGAAAAGCCGTGGAGGCCAAAGTCGCACCCACCATAGTCCCTAAAGTTTGGATTGTGTTGGAACGGATACCACTCGACGACGCTGGGAAGATCGACCGCAGGAAGCTTCAAACATGGATACAAAACGCGAACGAAGCCATGTGTCAGCAAATCATGTCCATCGACTCCCAAGAGATTCTGGCCACACCCATGACCGATGTCGAGGAACGACTGCAGAAGGTCGTGGGCAAGGTTTTGAACGTCCAACCCCAAACAATCGCCATGAATTTGCCTTTCGCGGAACTCGGGGGTAACTCGACGGCGGCAATGCAAGTGGTAGTGAGGTGCAAGTCGCAAGGCATTTCACTCAAGGCGGAAGATGTTCTTCAGGCCATGTCATTGACGCAACTGGCCTCTCTTGCCATTTCGAGCGAAGTGCTGGCCCGGAACTCCATCGACAGCACGACCGAGGAGTTCGAACTCACCCCGATGCAGCGCTTCTACTTTCACACCCCGATGGGTAGCAGGATAAGTCAAAGGGCCTCGCGGGATGGATCGTGCCGTTTCAATCAAAGCATGCTGCTGCGCTTCAAGAAGTCGATCGGCATGGAAGATATCCGCGCGGCTATTGAAACGGTTGTCGGGCATCACGCCATGCTTAGGGCGCGGTTTAGGCCCAGCAGAGGCTCGTGGTCACAGTATACCCTGTCCGAGGTTTCTTCGTCATACCACTTTGGTCATCACTCAGTCCGAACCGACGCCTCAGTGGAAGCAGTCATCAAGCAGGCGCAAGCGAGCATCGACATCGAGAACGGTCCCGTGTTTGCGGCCCATCATTTTCACACCAACGATGGTCACCAGTTGCTTTACCTCGTCGCTCACCATCTCGTGGTAGATTTCAAGTCTTGGAGTGTGATCGTGGACGATCTGGACCAGCTTCTCCTCGAAGGCAGTTTGGCATCGGGTCGAGCCGTGTCTTTCCGTGAATGGACTGCACACCAACGACGCAGGGTCAACAACACGAACTCTCCGATACAGTTTCCCTTCCAGATCAATGGAGCCGACTGTGGCTATTGGGGCGTGAATCAGCAGACCAACAACTACGCCAACACCGTTACAGCTGGTTTTACGCTCGGCACCGACATAACCTCGCTTCTTTCCAGGAGCAACGAGACGCTTCGTACAGACTCTTCGGACATATTCCTCGCAGCGTTACTTCTCTCCTTCAGTCAAACTTTCCGGGATCGACCGACGCCTGCCATTTGGAATCAAGAACACGAAAGGACTGTTTGGGACGCAGAGGTGGATATCTCGGAGACGGTCGGATGGTTCACTTCTCTGTGTCCTCTGGCGGTGGACATATCCCCCTCTGACGACTTGTTTAAAGTCCTTCGTAACGTCAAGGATGCGCGACGCACGGTGGCGGACAGAGGTGTCTCGTACTTCGCCTCGAACTTGATGGACGCTGAATCTGCCGATTCTTTCACTTCTTCGCAATCGCCCCTGGAGATCATCTTCACATATGTAGGGCCCACGCAAAGCCATGACCGTCAAGAGAGCCTCTTGGAGCAGATTCCCGTTCCCAACAGCCGGTCTCTGGCTTCTCCCACATCGGATATTGGACCCAACGTGGGTCGCATTGCACTTTTTGAGGTATCAGCTGCGATTGATCACGGCGAAGCCAAGTTCAGGTTTGTTTACCACAGGCTATCAAGACACCATGACCTCATTGATGCTTGGATCCACACCTACGAGGTTTTTCTTCAAGACGGAATCAAGCACTTGCGTTCTCAGCATCCCGAGCTTTCTATGTCGGACATCCCCCTCATGGATATGACCTACGACGGCCTCTCCAAATTGAACCGGGAAATCCTACCAACCCTCGGCATCGATGCCACCAACATCGAAACTGTGTACCCGGCCACTGCGAATCAGCAACACATTTTGATCAATGAGTCTTTGATTCCTGGTAGTTCTGGTGTCCAGACCATCTACGCGCTTAGCAGCCTCGGCAACTATATTGACATTAAGCAGTTATGCGCCGCGTGGCAGCAGGTTACTACCAAGCACCCGGTCCTCAGAACACTGTTCGTTGAAAGCAGTTCCAAGAACGGTTTGTTTGATCAGCTTATTCTGCGACACCATTCTCCAAATATGCTCTTCATCGAGAGCCGAACTCGCGACAACGCTCTATACGACCTGGAGAAGCTCCCTCCTTTGACCTCAACCAAGCGCAGCCCTGCACACAGGTTGGTCGTATGCCAAGCACCAGGCAAAACATTCCTCAAGTTGGAAATGAGCCAGGCCCTCTGCGACGGTTCCAGTCTTGCCATCCTATTCACTGAGCTGAACCAAGCCTACTTCAACCGCACGACGTTAGGAACATCGGGAATCTCGTACCTGGAATACCTCAAGTGTTTGAAAACGACACCTTGCAGCATCGAGTTCTGGCGGGAGCGCCTGGCCGGCGTCCAGCCGTGCCACTTCCCAAACCTGCTCTCGCAGGAACAGCAAGTCGATGGTAGGGAGTTCGAGACCACGTCCGTCGAATTGGGTCTTTCCTGCCGATCCGTTGATCAGTTCTCGCAGCAATATCAAGTCGACGTGACTGCAGTGTTGAGCGTGGCTTGGGGTCTCGTCCTACGATTTTATGTTGGCTCCGATTCAGTTTGTTTCGGGTACCGCACCTCCGGCAGAGATCTTCCGGTGGAGGGCCTCTCCGATGCTGTGGGATGTTTTTCCACCGTCTTGATCGGCCACCTTGCGGTTCACTCGTCCCAGTCCATCGCTCAGATGCTCATGGACGCCGAGGAGAACCACCGCGAGGCCCTACACCATCAACACGTGCCAGTGAGTAGCATCGAGCACGTTCTGAAAAGAAAGGGCGATCGCCTCTTCAATTCCTGCCTGTCTTTCGGCTATGAGAATATTGATGAGACCTCTCCGGCTAGCATGAAGTTCCGACACGTCAAATTGATGCAGGCTTCGGAGTATGATTTCAACGTCGACGTCAACTTCAGGCGTGGCAATCTGGCTTTGGACATCGGACACCGCATTGTCACGCCGGTCCAGGCGGAGAACGTTGCCCATGCCTTCGAGAGAGCCGTTCGGACGGTCCTTGACAACCCCGGCGGCACGGTCCGAGAGGTTGACCTGTTCAACGACCACGACCACCGGCAGATCGTTGCGTGGAACAGCGAGCCCAAGATGGATACCACCAACGAAAACGTACACCGTCTGATTGGTCTGCGAGCCTGCGACTATCCCGGTATCCAAGCCGTCTGCGCCTGGGACGGCGACTTCACCTATGGGGAGCTAGATGAGTTGTCTATCAAAATGGCGAGCTATCTTGTGGCTTGGGGCGTGCAACCCGGAACACCCGTGCCGGTCATTGTCGACAAGAGTCGATGGGCGGTGGTGGCTATGTTGGCTGTCTTGAAGTAAGCTACCTGCCATTTGATGTCGTGGCCTTTGCCTTGCTGACTGCCATAGTATTGGTGCCATTCTCATCCCCGTCGACGTAGCACTCACGTCCATGTTTTCATGGATTATCAAGAATGTCGGGGCCCAGACCGTCTTGGCCTCAGAAAGTGTCCGAGAGCATTTGCCGGGTCGAGACAACCAAGTTATCTACCTCGACGAGGAAACACTCTCGTCTATAACTGCCCTTCCCACGGTGATACTTGACCCCCACCCAACCAGTTCTTACGACGCGGCGTGCATTTTGTTTAATACGGCGTCTGCGATGAACCACAAAGGCATCGCCTACAGCCACGGTGCTCTCGCCACCGCATGTATCGGCCAAGCTTCCGCACTCCGCATCAACCCGTCGAGTCGTGTCATGCAGTTATCATCCTACAGCGTTGACATTGCCCTGACCGAGATATTTACAACCTTGGTCAACGGCGGATGTGTTTGTGTGCCCTCGGCCGTAGAGCGGGTGGAGGGCTTCACTCCCGCTGCTCAGCGCATGAATGTGAACTGGACCTACTTGACTCCGACCCTGTCTCGCAAGCTACAGCCGGAGAACCTGCCTAACCTGTCCATCGTCTGCTTCAGGACACGCCAACTGGAAGCCGATACCTACGGACCATGGGTGGGCAAAGCCAAGATTTTGCTCGCCTATGGCTCTGCCGAGGCGTGCCCACTGGGGTTGTCTGCCTCCGAGGTCACAGCCTCGGCGGCGGTGAGGTGCATTGGCAAGCCATTCTGCGGGAACTACTGGATTGTCAATCCCGATGACTGCAATCGACTAATGCCGGTCGGTGCCGTCGGAGAACTGGTCATCGGCGGTCCTACCCTGGCAAATGGCTACGACCTCACGGGCGGCGAAAACAAGACGTATTTTACTAGAAGGACATCCCGCGCGAATCTGGGAGACGTGAAACCAGGCAGACTTCTGAAGACTGGTCACTTTGTCCGTTATACAGAAGATGGTCAAATCGAGCTGGTTTCTAGCCGAGGTGAAAATACGGAAATCACCGCCAAGGTCGAGCCACGACTTCGGAGATGTCTCGGTCGAGGTGTGGATGTGGTGGTTGACACAATTGCTTTCAAATATCAAGACAGCGACTCGACTTCCATACTGGTTGCCTTCGTTGAGCTTGGCGACAGTCTTTACCCTGGTGAGCCCGACCTGAACCACTTGAGTGCCGTCACCAAGGAACGATTGTTTCTTGCCAAAAAGATGGCAGAGATGGCTTTGCGGGACGTCGTGCCAAACCACTTGATCCCTTCGACCTTCATCCCGGTCAAGCAGATGCCATTGACACCTTCGCTGAAGGTTGATCGCCGCGCTTTGCAGAAGATGATCATGGGTCTTTCAAAATCCCAGCTCCTCGGGTTGTCTAGTGTACCCAACCCTCACGAAGTGCAAGCCGCCAGCCTCAACCCGCTTCCCCTGACCAAATTGGAGCAGCGTGTACGGGCCATTTGGGCTAGAGTACTCGATGTTCAGGAGTCTTCCATCACTTCCAATGACGGCTTTGTTGGTCTCGGGGGCGACAGTGACCTCGCTCACGACCTCGTCATCACTTGCCGGCAGCAGGATTTGGATGTGTCCATTATTGATGTTCTTCGCAACTTTTCCTTGACTGAGCTGTGCAAAGTGATTAGCGTTGCAGATGTGCCCGTCCCGGAGGTCGAATCGAACATGCGGAAGCAGCGAAGCCCCTCCAACGTCTTTGTCGGAAATGCCGTTCTGCCACAGGTCGGCCTTGAACGAGAAGAAATCGAGGACTTCGCCGAAGCCTCTTCTCTCCAAACTGCATTCATTGAGTCGGGCATGCTCAGGACCAAGGGCGACATCAGCTACTTGGTGATCAACATGACCGGTCCGTTCGGCTGGGACAAGCTTGAGAACGCCGCGTTTCAGCTTACCAAGGCACATCCCATGCTACGCACCGCTTTTATTACACACAACCAACAGTTGTTCCAGACGGTACTCCGCTCCTACAAACCCGAGTTCCAGCGCTATCAATGCCCCAGCTGGCGCCTGAGTAACCTGGCCACGAAAATCATCAAGAGAGACCAGTCGGCGCCAATCAATTTCCGCCAACCAGTGACTAAATTCTTCTACTTGGATGCTGGCAAGAGCTCTATTTTGGTAATGCGACTGTCTCGAGCGCAGTATAATGAGGCTTCCCTGCCAGCCATCATGAATGACCTGTCCAGATGCTGCGACCACGGAGACATGGTGACTCAACGTCCAGGCTTCTGCGACGTGGTGCGAGCTGCGCAACATGCTTCGCACAATGGTGCTATCGACTACTGGCGCACTCTCCTTGAGGAGGCTCGGATGACGCAGGTGGTTTCGCAGCCCACTCCACTGGTGGCCAGCTCCGATTCCAAGACGATCCACCGGCAGATTCCCACGGGCTCCATTCAGCATCTAGGCATTCCGTTTGAGACCATTCTCAAGGGTGCCTGGTCGGTTGTGCTCTCTAACCTCTCAGGTTCAGATGACGTCGTCTTCGGTCAGTTGGTCGAGGGCAAGCATCTGAGTCTTCCAGGTGGGCACGCTGTGGCTGACGTTGTTGGGCCTACTGGCAACATCATCCCGGTGCGCACCCGACTTCCCGATGTGCCGATCACACCCTACGAGTACTTCCGTTGCGTGCAGAGCCAGCATGTGGCCAGCGTTCCGCACGAGAACATGGAGTTTTCCGATATTATTTCCAAGTGCACCAGTTGGCCGTCGTGGACGAACTTCAGCACCGTCGTCCAGCACCAGAACTCTGCTGAACGTATTAACCTCGGCCACTTCCTCCTCGGTGGTGCGACGTGCAAGCTCAACTATATAGAGTCGAACCATCAGAACTCGGACATGTTTGTACGTTCCGTCACTGCTGGCGCCGCCCATGTCGACATCAGCCTTACCTTCTCCGAGAAGCGCATGCACCCCATTTTTGCCGACGAGGTGCTCAAGATGCTGTGCTCCACCATCACGCTTCTCACATCGGCCTTCATCATGGAGCCGCTCATGCTCAAGGGTCTAAACGACGATCGCGCCATCTCGCGCATCCCGCTCCCAAGCTACAACCAGGACAAGAAACTCGAGACACCCGTTCAGTCAGTGACTCCAGACCATGCGAGCGCCATCCACGCCGTCATCTCCTCGGGCTGGGATGCCATCCTCAGCACAAGCAGCCTGCACGTCTCCGATGTACGGAGCGTGCCCTTCTACGACATTTGGGGATCTCTTATCCCCGCCGCCGAACTGGCCCGTTTCTACAACGAGAATATGTCCCGTCTTGACGTCCCTGGGCTTGAACAGGCCACTTTCACCTTGGAGGACATCCTCGAACATCCGACCATGATGAAGCAGTTCGAGATGATAATCGCCCAACAGCAGGGCGTCTCGTCCTCGTCGTCATCGTCGCAACACCCTCACCTTTCGACGCGCTTGGCCAGCGTCCAGCGCCGGTCTACTTCGTGGGGAAAGAACATCAGGAGGTTGACGGTCATCCCTACTCCGCACTCGGTGTCCTGTCCTCACCCCGCTCCTTCTTCGGCACCCACTCGGAAAACGACTTCAGCTTTGCTGGCTCCTCCACCTTTGTCTGCAGGTCGAGTTCTTTCTAGTGCCGGTGGCACTCCCGCCGGTAGACACAAACACCACAACAGCAGCAGCGGCGGCAGCTCGGTCGAGTCCATGACGAGTGGGAGTAGCCAGAGTGATGTGGACGAGCTGAGGGACGAGGTCAAGGCCGAGATTAGTCCGTTGACGCCTGTGACCCCGTTCACGAGGAAAAAGCCAAGCGTTGGGTTGGATGCGAGTGCGCATGCGTTAAAGAAGAAGGGAAGTGGTTTGTTGGGGAGGATGGGGATGCACTCTATTGGGGCATAGATGAGAAAGGGGAAGCATTTTCTGGGAAGAGCCAGAACTATTGGACAGTTGTTTTTATCATCGGCGAACGCGGGAATCCGATGGGATGGTGCCGGGATTCAAACGTGACGGATTTTTTTTTGTTGCTACTGTTCAGTACAAGTTGGTTTTGGGTGGTTGTCTTGCGTGGCGCTTAGGAGTTCCAAAAGTGAGTCTATTGGCCCTTGCTGCTGTGGACACTTACCCGTCAATCGTTGTTAGACTCTATTTAGCATTTGAGATACCCGTCTTTTGTTGACTCGGAAATTGGAAGTATTCAAACTAAGCCACTTGGTTTTTGCGTGAACTTGCCGTTAGTGCGATGAGGATTGTAGATGATGAGAGTCTGAAAGCCAACCACTTTTAAGAGTCCAGTTCGTGGTGGCATCACAACGACCTGGCCAGTATTTAAATAATCTCTAGTCTCGTAAATATCAATGTAGACTGACGTCTGTTTCCCACACCCCCGCGTTCACACCCCACGGTAATGCTCTTCCTCCAATGTTCTTCTCCATGTGAACCCCTCATCCCCCACCCTGATCGTCACCATCTTCTCCATCACCCAACCTTAAGGCACTCAGTCTCTTCTCTCGGAATTCATTGTCGTCCTAGTGCTGAGTAAGTAGGACATAGCCGGCCGGCTGTCATGGGTCACGACTGACTACCCCTACCAGATAGCAGTGTCATGTCCGTACTTATCCGAGCTGGAAGCGGATATTCTTGGTCTATAACCGGCCACAGGATATCGTTTTCCTCAAAAACGGTATAAAAGTGGGTTAACAAGGTACTAAGACCACTGCACTCGCTATCGCACGGTCAAGTATTATTCTTGGTCAATTCACTAACCTACTGGAAGGCCCATTGCCTCGAAGTCGACTGACCGTGAAAGATATCCATATCCGGCAGTACGCTGCGTCACTCGAACGATACCGACTCGCCAGTCATGGAGACAAAAGAGGAAGAAAAACCCGCATTGCAGAGCGTTGAGCACTCGAGTGGAGGCATTGAAGATGCCGATGCGGCGTTGCATCAACAATTCGCAGAGGCAGACTCAGCATGGCACCAAGCCATGAGCAAGAAACTACTCAGGAAGGTGGATGGACATCTGCTTCCGCTGCTTGTCCTGATGTACCTGTTGAACTTTCTGGACCGCAAGTATGTTCATCTCGTAATCGAGCATTTAACGTCAGCGCACTGGGGGTATAGTGCAAACAACTGACACCAGCCACTGCAGCAACCTATCCCAAGCTCGAATAGGCACCCTAGAAAAAGATCTCGGCATGACGGGGACGGACTTCAACCTCGCGACCAGTATACTCTTCGTCGGATACTTGCTCATGCAACTGCCCTCAAATCTGATCCTTACTCGAGTCCGGCCGTCGATATATCTCGGGGGCGCTATGATGATATGGTTAGCACGCGTCCTTCCCTTACATTTCAACGGAACTGCTTTCAACTCGTTGGGTGAAGGCTGGCTAATCAAGAACAAAGGGGTGCTATCTCCGCTGCCCAAGCCGGCACCCAGTCCTTCGGCGGCCTAATCGCCTGCCGCTTTATGCTCGGGTTTGCCGAGGCGCCGTTTTTCCCGGGGGGCGTGTTTTTGATGAGTTCCTGGTACACGCGTCAGGAGCTGGCCCATCGAATCGCTTGGTTCTATGCCGGGTCGTCGTTGGCCAATGCGTTTGGGGGTCTGCTTGGGGCTGGAGTGTTGGGAGGTTTGAGTGGTGCTAGGGGGATTGCTGGATGGTATGTCCTGTCTCTCATTTGCCGCCCGGGTTTTGATACTACCTTGGAGAACAGATGAAATGGGCTAACTGGTGATACAGGAGATGGCTTTTCATTATCGAAGGTAGGCCCCCCTATTCAAACAGGGTAGTAACCCCTCAGTCTCAGCAATACTAACCTGCGACCCCAGGCACCCTAACGATAGCCTCCTCCCTCCTCTCCCTCTTCATCCTCCCCAACTATCCCTCTACAACCACCTGGCTCACCCCCCACGAACGCCTCTACGCCTCCTGGCGTCTCACAGCCGACACAGGCGGCGAACCCGACCGCGCCGACTCCTCAACCCTCAAACACGGCGTCCTCCTCGCCCTCAAAGACCCGAGACTCTATCTCTTCACGGTCCTCCAGCACGCCTCCCTCCTCTCTCAAACCTTCCAGTTCTTCTTCCCTACCATCGTCCAAACCCTCGGCTACGCCACCGTGCCCACCCTACTCATCACCGCGCCCGTCTGGGTAGTTACGTTCCTCGTGTCCCTGATCGTGACATATATCAGCGGTAGGACGGGGGAAAGGAGCCTGCATGTCATTGGCTTGATGACGGTTTCCGTCATCGGGAATGTGATAGCTGCCTGCACGCTCAACACAGGGGCTAGGCTCTTCGCCATGTTCCTCATGCCCATGGGCGCTGTGCCCGCGTACCAGATTATATTGGCCTGGGTGGCGAATAGCTTTCCCCGCCCGATGGTGAAACGAAGCGTGTGTGTTAGTTTCGCGAATATGATTGGGAACTGTGCGAATATATATGGGCCGTACATGTACCCGGCGACGGACGGGCCCAGGTATTTGGCGGGAGGGGTGGGGACGGCGGCTGCGGCGGTGTTGGTTATGGGGTTGGCGGGGTTGGCGAGGTTGGTCTTGGCGAGGGAGAATAGAAGGTTGGAGGCTAGGGAGAGAGCGACGGGGGATGAGGGGCACGCGGTGGGGAATGATGAGAAGGCCGTGGGGTTTAGGTACGTGTTGTAGTCTGGACCGACCTTATTAGTTGTGGACGGCGTGTAGAAAGCTTGCGCGCCAGCTATTTAGGTGGAAGCCGGTAAAGCCCAATGAAAAGGGAGGCCTCGAAATCCCGAAATGTCATGAAAGACCATATCGCACTGCCCATCTGCATCTCGCTGAACCGGTTCCTATGCCGCACTTCCAACCCATCACCATAGCGAGCTGGGGTCTCGGGTATCAATTATATTATATGTAGTATTAGTGTTTATGCTCTATCCCATTTTATGCCTCAAGCGCGGCACATTCTCCCATCAGCAGCCACCGTCCAAGCATCACTACCCACCCCCTTCAACGCATAAAACACGCCGTTGGGATCCCACGTTTGCTTAATCGTCAACAGCTTGTCATAGTTGTCGCCGAAGAAGGTCTCCTGCCAATTAGGCTGGTTGAAGTCCGCCTCGTTAAAGTACGCGCCGCTGCCGGGCGTAACGGCCTCGATCTGCGGCACGAACTCATTGGTCATCTGCACCTGCGCGGCAACCATGTCCTCCCAGGGCGCCGTGGAGTCCCAGGCGGTAGTGAGCTGCATGTGCACGCCCGCATCGCGCCACGCCGGGTTCACGGCGTTGGACACGTCGAACTTGGCCGATGCGTTGAGGCCGTCGCCGACGGCAAGCACGCCGTTCTCCGTCAGGTTGCGCAGGACGGCTTGGAACGCGTCGTTGTTGTTCTCGAGGACGTCACGGGGGATCAGGCGGCTGCCGAATTGGTATTCCTCCACCGCGACGTGGCCGTAAGGAAGAGGGCCCATGTACGTGTCGTAGTGGTCGCGGTAGGGGAGCGAGGTGTAGCTGGCCGAGTATGGGATGGACAAGTTGCCGAGGACGGCGAGGAAGGGTGCCAGGACGGTGTCCTTGATGTGGTCTCCGGTGCTGTTGTAGATGGTGATGGGGTTGACGACTAGGACGGCGCTGCTGACGTAGTAGACCACCATGGCGCCCTGGTCGATCATGGCCGGGAGCAGGGCGTGGAACTGTGCAACGGCCTCAAAGAAGTTATCCTGCGTCGTGTAGACGGCCGCGAGCTGGAGGGATGCTCCGCCGACGGTCGCATCGGGGTGCGTCCGGACCGTCATTGAGGTGACGACTCCGTACGTGCCACCACCGCCACCACTGAGAGCCCAGTACAGGTCACTGTTCTCGGTTCTGGAAGCCGTGACTACGTCCCCTGCAGCAGTAACTACCTCAAACTCAAGAGTCTGATCGGCTGCCATGCCAAAGGTCGTGGTGAGGGCGGAGTGGCCACCACCTTGGGTGTAGCCACCAGCCATGCCGACGGTAGGGCATTCACCGGTGACAATGACAACACCCTCGGCAGCGGCCGCCTCAAGGGCCTCGTAGCCCTCCACGCCGGCGCCGACTTTGACGGCTGAGCCGGAATAGTAGCTATCAGAATAGTCAAGGAACTCGACACTCTTTAGATGGTGAGTCCAGATGGCCAGGGCTCCTGCACCAGTAGAACGACCGAGGAAGCTGGAGACGAATCTTAGCGAGAGCACCGCAGCGTGGTCGGCGTGAAACTTACTCGTGACCCGTGTTACGGACGAGAACCCGAATGTTGTTCGTCTGGGCAAAGGCAAGAGCCGCAATCACATCCTCGTTACTCGTCACGTTGACAGCATAACTGACATAGTTGCCCAGCAAGCAAGGAGTTGACCGGTCGGTAAAGGGATCACAGCTCTGGTTGGCGAAGAAAGCTTGCATCACCGAGGACGAGGACGGGATGCTGCCAAAGGTTAGCCAGCCGCATATGCCGGGTTGGAGCCGTATGACTCGCGAACTTACTGCGTCTCAGGTGAAGTCCAATCCGCTTGGAGGGCCGCACAAGCCTCTGCGTCATACGTCGGGTCGTGGCAGGGCGAGCCTACCGGGACGGTGGCCACGAGTCTTCCGCTGACGGTGGTGTTGAGACCGTCCCAAATCGAAGCCGATGGCCAGCACGAGTCGCCGGGTAAGCAGTAGCAGTCGCTGGCCGCGTCTCGCGGCGGATAGACCGGGACCAGCGCAGTTGTTGCTGCGGCATGGAGGACAGCCACCAAGGCAGTGGGGATTGTCAAGGACCTCATGGTGGATTTGGGCGTGTCGACTCAAAACAAGAACTCAGCATTAAGCAATTAAAGTTGCGCGCCGTTGGAAAGCAAGACAGCGAGTGGCCAAGAAAGGAGCCAACTACTAAGCCGCCCCTCCGTCTATTATACAGTCGCATTAGATGTGTCGGATTAAGGTATCTGTGAGGCGTAAGGCAAGCAGCCCCCTTCGCATGATGGGATGAAATGAGCGCGCCATTTCCCAGATTGGATTCCCAGCTTGACGGGAGGACGCGACAGCCGCACTGCCACCCGGGATCCACTTGAACAGGCGAGAATAGACGATAATGGGCGAAGCACCCGAGCGAGGTCGCATTTGCTGCAGAAGGCCCTGGGGGTTCTAAAATTTAAACGTGGGATCGCTGATTTCAGCCTTGTCTTCCGCTCGTCTCCAGCTCTAGTTATCGGCCGAGTAGGGCAGAATAGGAGCTGCGCGCCGTGGGCCTCAGGGCGTCGTCGTCCGTCGGCGTCAGCAACATAAATGGCCGACGAACAAGCCTTGGCCTGGCTAACCGATACGGCCTAGCATCGTAGGAGGACCTCGGAGGTGTTGTACCAGTCGTCGATTAGAGCTTGAGAGTCGGTCTCTTTCCGAGACACTCGCCACCAAGGTTTACTATGGCGGGGCAAGTCGAGTAGAAGCTTAACTCGTACTACGTAGTATTTCCCTCATTGCGGAGCTGGATGCACGCAATCTGGCAACCTTTGGTCGACCATAACGAAGGCGTCTGACTCGTTGCGTTCCATAAAGGTGTTGTTAATCTCGACGTCCAGAATGCGACTTCGCCCAATGTCAGGGAAAAGATGCCGGCAATAGTCATTGGTTCGACTGCCGGAGGCCATCGGCCGATAGCGTCGACGCTGGGGAATGGCAATGCATGAACGGATTTCCTGCGCCTCTCAAGTGCGTCGAACTACTGTTTCGCCGCATCGCGAAGGCCAGATGGTGGTGGGGGCACGGTAATGCGTTCCCTATTGCGTCTTGGATCATACCTCTCCCTTAAAAACCCTGGAAACACTATAGTGTTACATCGCCATCTGGGCAGATAAGCCAGATGTCGTACTCGGATAGCATTTCTAAGGGCTCTCAAGAGACGAGACCCGTCGCTCAGGCTGGCAGCTGGCGGGCAGGCAGCAGGAGGAACTGGAAAGCCACGATGCACAGTCGATGCTCTACATTCGCACTGACGACAACGCGGCCTTTCGACTCGACTTAGCCGAGGAAGACCAGACCGTTTCAAATAGCTAACCCTGCCAATCGGCAGACTGCGAGGTGCGACGAATACGTCTAGAAGGGCGGGAAGGGCCCCTGGAGATTCTTATCAAACACCGTACGATGGCTGGCTTGGCTGGCAGATAGGTAGGCAGGTACAGGCATCAATCATCAACCGACACCTCCGGGATTTGATGCGGCTCTACTCAGGCTTCCAAACATAGCGATCAGCGAGCCGGCTTGGCTGATCGGTTGCCTCCATGCGGACCACGATCGGGAGCATCGGAGTATCTTTCCCTCCTCGCCGCCAACTTCCGTTTTCGGTAACACCTCCCTCCATGTTCAACCGCACGTGCTTGCGTCTTGGGGAAGTACAAATCAAATCAAATAGTCCATTCTTAACTTTTCACCTCACGTGGCGAAGATGCACGCCCAGGCGCCTCACGCGGTCACAGAATTGCACCTGTCGGCACTTCGTCGGAAGCGCTGTTCCTTACCGGTACGTAACAGTAACACACACACGCCCGAGCGACGAGGGCCTGGAGATGAGACGAGTGCTTCCGTTCTTCGGATGCCGTGGTTGATCAACCACCGGTCTCTTATCTGTCCCAGCTATCAGGATCGAGTGGGTACATCATTTACTGGGTGACGACGAGTAGCTACCTACCTGCCCGGATCAACTCCAACGCCACGTGCGCGATGGTGTGCGCGGAAGGCACAAAACGACTCCGTTGGCCTCGGCCCACGAGTCTCTATCTCAAACCGACAAGAGGCCACAGTGCAGCCTGCACGCTACCGTCTGGGCCTCATAAATTCGAACCTAATGACAACATTGGCAGGTAAACGGCGTGCCATGCATCGCCCATGCCACTACTACGGTATCAGGCCAAAGTTTTCGCCCCCTTGACAAGTACCAGTGGACCACTGTCAAGGTAACGCTATACTGATTCTTGCCTAGCCTACTCATGGTAACGAAAAAATACTTCCACCTCTGATTCCAACTTGCTGTTAACGCGTCCTAATTATCGCGTATTCAGCAACTACAATGGGGACTAAACACCTTACAGAAGCGGATCGCCAACGAATTCGAACCCCTATATTTCGACGGTGGTAAATCGAAAGCCGAAATTCACACTACTACAACGTTTTCTCGTAATCATATTCAGACAGCTATGAAGGTCCCTTCAAGCCAGGTAGCGAAGAGTTGGCGCGTGCCTAGGTGGGGCACGGTACAAACACGCAATAGAAAACTTACCCATGATACCATAGTAATACGTCCTTCGCAGTCGTGACCCCGTCCAGACCTGCCATGTACCTGGCCATGGAAAACGGGTTCGCTCGGAGGTTCCAAGTAGGTGGGCCGGCAAGTCGGCCGGATCGATGATTAAATTTTAACAGCTGACCAGTTCAGCAGGGTCATGCCAAGTTTGCCAACTAAAAAGTATTATACTGCAAGGAACGGCGCCGACTCGGACCAGCAGACGGCCCAGGTGCCTCGATCAGGAACGTCTGAAGCAGGATTCCCTCAAGAGCCAATTGGCACTACAGCCCATCCGTGATGAGATGATGAGAAAATCACGCATAGCATCTGGGTTCGGACAGTCTGCAGTCGTGGTGTCCAATTTCAGTCAGCCCAGGCAGCGCAAGTCCGAGGACTGCAGGCTGCTTTCATCAAGCTATTTCCCCTAGCGTCGATATCCGGCGGAGCAGAAGCGGAGGAGATGCCTTTCATACTTCGCAAGCCCACTAATTCCCGAGGCCTATGGCTTCCAATTTAGCAGATGCCCACATATCTCAGCCCGGTTTCAAGTTCATATCGAAGTTGATAATCATCAGGGTTCGCGTCTGGAGCAAAGAGCCAAAACATCGCAATGCGCGGCGCAACGATGGAAACTTGCAGTTTGCTTACGTTCTCTGTTTGTTTCCTTCCTTCCTGCCAGACGACACCACGGGCTCTGGTCCCCGTCGAGCAGAGAGATGGCATACGGCGCTGTTATCCAGCCCTCAGCCACCATCGCTTTCATCATCTAATAATATGGAGACGAACCAGCCACCGATGTGTCGCCTGAGATCTGCCGAACGCCCAGGCTACTAGACTCATTTGCCCGAGGATTCTCGCGGTCCTGTTACTTTAACTCTTTGCACCTGCATTAGTGCGTCATCAGCTGCTTTCTGCATGACCGTTGCTGATTGGACCTGCTAGCGTTGGGAACAGGGTATAAAGCACTATTAGGGACCAATTAGGCACTGGTGTCCGAGATATACTCGGCCGCCATCGACACCAACTTCTAATTTTTTTAGTTTTTTTCCATGATACTCCACGTGTAGCGTGGCAGTTTTCTTTATGGGTACCACACTGGCACCGCACGGACACACCCTTTCGGCAAGTCGGTATGCGTTTTAGCTCCCCCCCGTATCTTGATACCTTTTGCCATGGCATGCCATGGCAGAACCGCGGTCTATAACAGCAGGATTTCACATGTCCAGGTGGGGCGCACTAAAACATCAATGTATCATACTCCATCCTGAACAAGGGACCCCCGATGTAATATTCCGGCGAATGCATGGGTCTCATGTGTGTAGGGTGGTGCGGGTTGGGCGGAAAGTCGCCTGCTGAAGAATATTATCAAGTATCCCCGTCCCATCTCACTAGCAGGGGCCTGGCAGGCAAATACCCGTTTAGATTATCTTTTCCATCTGTACGGTACCTTTGTGTATCTCTCTCTCTCTGCGTACCACTTGTGATGCAACAAAAACAGCAGGCCTGACTCAGCTGCTGCGCAGTTGTTGGACGGCTTCGGAAACAAGGCAGGCTGGTCAGAAAATACTACAATTATACATCTAACCAAGAGGCTGCTTGCTTCGTTTCTCTATTCTCGACACAACTTCAACAACGTCGAGGAGCTGGACAGGATGTGGTCCCCATTGATCGCCGTCCTCTTGTCGTGCCTGGCATTTATGCCTGTCACTTGGGCACAAAGCTCGAGTTCATCTGATGCCGCCGCATTTTTGGCGGCGCTGCCATCTTGTGCTGTAAGTCATGTCGATCCCTTGCCTTTCGTGGCGATGCTGCTGACGATCTATAGTTGCCATGTCTCGTCACTGCCATCGGAAATTCGAACTGCTCAGCAACCGACACTGCGTGTCAGTGTGCCGATACGCAGTTGAATGAGGAGGTCGCCCTCTGCGTCGGTGCCAGCTGTACGCTCAAGGAGTCATTGAGTAAGTCGACTCCCCCCTCCCCCTACACTTGACTATCCTAGGCACGCCCTAATCACCTTCAAGCCACGAAAAACCTCACTGAGACCAACTGCCACGCGCCGATCCGCGACAAAAGTCGAGACTACAGCATCACGGCTGTAACGCTGGGCTCCGTCGCTGGTCTCTTCCTCATCCTGCGCGTGGTCCACAAGTTCTTTGTGCTCAAGTCCGCACTCGGCATGGACGACTGGTTCGTCATCGTCGTCATCATCTCGGGTATCCCGTCCACGGTGATGAGCGTCCATGGGCTTGCCGCCAACGGGCTCGGCAAGGATATCTGGACGGTGCCCTTCGACCAAATCACCAAGTTCGTCATGTACTTCTACATCATGGAGATTCTGTATTTCGCCCAGGTCGCTATTTTGAAGTTGTCCATTTTGTTCTTTTATTTGCGCATCTTCCCCGCACAGGGGATCCGGAGGCTGCTCTGGGGCACGGTCGCGTTAAATTCCGTCTTCGGGCTTGCGTTCGTCTTCGTCGCGATATTTCAGTGCAGTCCGATTCAGTTTTATTGGGAGAGGTGGGATCTGGAGCATGAGGGGACCTGCTACAGCATCAATGCTATGGCTTGGGCCAATGCCGGCATGTCGATCATGATCGATATTTGGATGCTGGCCCTTCCCATCTGGCAGATTAAGTCGCTGAAGCTGAACTGGAAGAAGAAGGTCGGCGTTGGTATGATGTTCTCGGTTGGCACGTTGTAAGTTTCACCCAGCCCACCCCTGGTCTAGACGACATGGGTGGCATCCTCTCAGAGCTCCTCTTGTTAACGCGAACCGCCAGCGTCACCGTCGTCAGTATCCTCCGCCTCCAATCCCTCGTCCACTTCGCCAACTCGCTAAATCCCACCTGGGACCAACTGGACATAGCCAACTGGTCCACCGTCGAAATCAACGTCGGCATCATCTGCGCCTGCATGCCTTCTCTCCGCCTCATCCTCGTCAAACTTTTCCCTCGAGTCATGGGCACGACCCACGACCGCACGGCGAGATCGCAGTACTACTACGGGCAGAACTCCAAGGTGCGCAGGAGGAGTCGGTCATTCGGGCAGATGCGCATCGCGTCTAGGGTGAGCTCGGATGGAGTCGGGAAAGTCCAGACCCCGGGGATTGTATATTCAAAGAGTTACGCGGTAGAGTATGGGGATAATGATGAGGCGAGCTTGGTGCCGATGAAAGATTTGGATTTGGAGGCTAAGGGGGGGCCTACGGTTAGGGCTACTTCGGATGATATTGTTCAGGGGAAGGCTTGGGCGGATAGATAATGCTTCTGTAGAGAGAAGCTGAACGATTTACTATGTTTGTACATGAAGGTTTTTGGTGATATATTTGCCAGCTCACAGTTATAACCCGCCTAGGGCATTAGTACGGCTGGATAGTTCGACGCAATAGTCCATCTGCGCCCCGGATAAGGCTCGTTGGACAGCTTTTCCCCTCGTCTATTGAGCTCTTCTTGCTGGCGGTGCTGCTCGTGTGCGAGTGCTTTCCATTGCCTTTGTCCGTACCCGTGAAGGGACCTTTATCAGCCATGGTGATTGACTGCGGCATTGGGTGGCAGGGAGTGCTTCTAGTGGTGTAGCTGGCTGGGGGCCGCTTCTCAAAGACCGGGATGAAGGCTGATGGGGTTCTTGGGGTTGGTGATGCGCTGCCTGCTCTGCAACCCAGGATGGCTTCCCGTGCGTATTTATAGTTTATTCCACGATGAAGCCCCTCGGTCAACTGCTTTCAGAGCATACTTAACAGTATCAGAGGACGTTGTCGACCTAGTGCAGTAACATGCTGATGCGAGTGCATATGGGGTGTGAATTGTTGTATTGGGAAAGGATGGCCAGGTCAGCTATTCTGGCCTGGCAGAGCTCTTTTATGGCTCTTTTCTGTCTTATCTATAGCTATAGGGTAACCCCCCATGGGGTCACGTATCACATGCTTTTCTCTGAAACGTACGCATCCTGCATCGTATTGTTGCTGCCTCGGTGGAAGACGCCCTGTAGAAAGCTTTTACACGCATTTTACTAGTACATTACCGTAGAGGCTAGGAGTACCCTTTTCAAGCACATATAACGATGTATATTTATATATAGCGTGGATCCGGCTTAAATCTCAAGAGCGTTATAAAATATTTTAAATGTAATCTGTCGATTATCCAAATCCTAAACGCTTTGTCAATATAGTTTTTTCTACTTTACCTGCACGCCTTAGCTAGGTAATGTGTGTGCTTAACTATCTTATTGATAAATAAATAACAGTATTATTAACTCGCGATTACTTGGTAGCACAGCATTTTAGCACGCTATCAAACTAGGATTCTGGAAGTGAGAACCTGCAATTTCATCAACCATGGGCCCCCTTGTCTGTGTTGTAGATTTTTGAATCAACAACACTACTTGCATTACATACACAGGGGAAAGTGCCCTCGCGATTGTGTTCTTTCCATATAGTGTTAGAGAAGCAATAGAGGGAGGGCTAACTATTGCGAATCTAATCACTATACTAGAATTTGGTCGCCAGTTCAATTTCTGTTGTAGCATCTCGTGGATTTTGTTGCTGGTACCGCGGTGCCTCAAAAGGAGAAGAGCGAGCAGCTCATCGCGTGTCGACACCTGATAGGTCGATGTTCGCATACCGCTGTATGTGTCTGATTCTTGCTACCTGAGTTGCGCTTGCTAGGATATTATCTAACGAAAAAGATACGTCCAAGTGCATGTCGCTAAAATTTCGCCAGCTCATCATGGCAACTTTTGAGTATAAACTACAATACTAAATAGATATATCAGAATAAGCTTGCAATCCAATACGTTTTTTAATAGTGAGTACTTTTGGTTATTAAATCGCCAGCAACCAGCTTTCAATGCCTCGACTGTTTTCACCACTAACCGACCCTATAAGAAAGCAATGAATAAAACAAGAGTACCGGAAGTGAGCATGCATAATCTCACTATCCCGAAGATCTGCAAAAACCTCGCCAAGCTTGGTATACTCCCTTTGCGTACTGCACTTGAATTATTGGGGCTTCGCAACTCGAATCCAACCCCACCTTCTGATCCTCGCTACCATGAATTATGTACGTGACACATCAGGTGACAAGCTGGAATCGGTGCATCCCGTCGCCCCCTGTGTTGGTTGCGACATGTTGGCCCGGCTTGACGTCTGACATCGATCTGCGTAGGGATGGTTGGGAAGCAACCAACAGGTGTAAGTCGACCAATCACATAAGGTCTGCACTTGACCAATTAGATCCCCTGCAACAAAGAATCGCGCAAGGCGTTGTCCGGCTCGGGAACTTCCGCTTTCAATAAGCCATAAACTCTGAACAACGCTGATAACGTCAATATTTCCAGTCCGTTTGCCACGGCGCTTTCCAACTGCTTGTCTTCTTTCACACACACCATCACCAATTCGACCCGAGTACCAACTCCGCAACCTCTTGAACTCAACTCCCTCCTCTGTTCGCATTTTATATTACCGGGACTCGATCACTCGCCATGTCGTCCCGTCTCGGCCTCCGCCACCTCGCCCGCCGCTCGTTCCTCTCCCGCACATCCGCGCGCCTCTCTTCGACAACCCCTTTCTCATCCTTTCCAGCACCACCCCGTCTCCCCGCCGACCAACAAGCCGAATTTGAGCGCCTGCAACGAAGCGCCAATACGCAAGAACCCATTACCGCATCAATGAGCGACAGTCCAGACGTCAATTTCGTCGAAGCGTTAGGAGATGTCGCATCACGAGACGCCAGTGGAAACACGCAGGCAGCAACCCTAGGAGACGTAACCAACCTCCCGCTGCGCAAAGGCGCACCGCCCGAGTTCGAAGGCGACACGAACCCCAAGACGGGGGAAGTAGGAGGACCTAAGAATGAGCCGCTACGGTGGGGCAGTGGGGGGGACTGGAGTTACAACGGGAGGGTTACTGATTTTTAAGCGCCCTGAGCAGGGAAAACAAAACCAAAAAGGCAGAGGCTTCATGGGAGTCCTAGACGGGGTGGAGGGGGGTACTACGTAGGCCACACAATGATGAGTTGGCAATTGTTGCTGGGAAGCGCCATGCCGCCGACTTCGGCCAAGCGCTTGGACGTGCGCATCAATATTGAAGAGCTGGATTGCTTGAATGGCCCGAGTCGAACCCACCGGGCCACCGGGGTGCACATCTTTCGACCGCTTTTACATTATCAGTTCGAGCCTGCGAGAAACAACGCGACGGGAGGGGTGGTGGTTGGCTTCGGAACAACGTTCCGGGGTATTGCGAGCTTCGGCCGGGTTCTTGTCGTCTAGCCAGCTACTCACAGCTGGTTGCATACAGACATTCATGCTGCTTACCAAGGGATGCCGAAGTGGCAGCTTATGAGCTGGGGAAACACTGATCATGTAGCATCGTGCGGGATGATGAGTCGGTCTTCTGAGAGCCGGCAACGGCGAATGTATCATACCTATAAATATACTCACCCAAGACCCAATATTGGAATCTGAACATAACTTCAAAGAAAACACAGATAATAGCAAGTGGACAAGCCACCAGACATAGTGCTTCAAGTGTGGGGTTCAAATAAATCATCGAGTTCACCTGTGACAAAACACAAAAACCCCCAATTATATGACTTAGTTAAACTTCATTGGTAAGTTTGCTGCTCCAACTCCGCGCTATGCTAAGTGAACTATATGGAATGCTGCAGTTATTCGTTTCCATTCACCCATGTGAATAGCCCGGTGCAACCCGGGTTCAGCCCGGATTCCTTGGTATCTCTTTCAAAGAACGCAGCAGCCAGCCAGGATCAAGTAAAGCAAGACAATGACAACGCTAATCCGCTTGCAATACATCGGTACAACCTTCCCGAGTCAAAAGACGCGTGGAGGATAGGAAATATCGCTCGGAGAAATCCTCCATCAAGGATATTCCATCGTGTTTGAAATGTTTGTTACACAGCCTTCGTGTGAACAAGGTCTGAAGTCGGATCGACACTTCTGCTCGCATTATCGGCATTAGTTGCGGCGGGGTCATCGGCGGCATCGATTGCAGACGGCATAGAGTCGAAAAATGTTGCCTTTGTTGCTCCTGACTGCTCCTCGGCCTGGTATATCCCATGCTCGCATGGCGAGTATCTCGTCAATCCCAGCGTCCTGTATATTATCCCTGGCATAGGTCGAAATCCTGGTTCCAAATACTAGTTTCGTATACGCGTTGCTGGATCCAGCATCCTCGTCCATCCTGATATCACCGTATTCGTCGTGCGCGCATTTTTCCTTCCCACAACAGTAGCAGGCCGAGCCGACACTAAATAACAACCCGACACCTTGCGCCTAAGAGGAGCCGGCACGTCCATTGGCGGTCACGCCCGCCGTTGTCTTCGTCGTCGTCATATCTACACCATTTACCCTGACCCCTCCAACGCGACTGTCTTTCACACGATTACCCCCATTAGTTGCGGGCCGGTTCTCCTTGTTGACATCTTCCCCGTTGTCGCTGCGCTTGGCTGTACCGTTTTCTGATGTCTTCAGGCCGTTTCTGACGCCCTTCCCGTTTTCACTTGATGCGCCGTTGACTACGGCCTTGAAGTCAATGAACTTGCTTCGCTGCAACGCGCTGTTGTTTCTGTTGATGCGGTCCCTGCGTCCCTTGCCCCTCAACCTATTTTGGGGCGCAGCACCGTCAATAACAAACCGTACCTCCAGTACCTTGAAACTAAGCCCGTCATGTGGCCGCTTGGGCGGTGGACCGCCCCATTCCCGGCTCGTGAGGCCGAAGCGGGTTGAACTGCCGTATTTCTCGAGCGCGGGGAGAATAAGCACCATGACTTGCATGTCTCTACCCGGTGGGATGTGGACAGGGCCCGTAGGCGGTGGCTCGGTCAAGACGTATCGTGATGTCTGCGACTCGGTAGAGGCGCTAGAATTCTTAGACGACTTCGGTGGTGGAAACTCCAGGTCGAGCAGACTTGCGAACGTCTCATCTTGCCACTCACCACGGATCCACCCACCGTGGATACATGCCGAGATGACATCTGAGTCGTCCGTGTATACGTCGGTTCCCCAAAGGGCCTGGCGTTTGATCATCTCCCGACGTGGGCCAGGCTCGAGATGTCTGCGATCTACCTTGACCATCAGGGTTGAGTTCTCGTTATTCTTGATGATTTCCATGGGCAACGGCGTGGGGGTGGAGGCATAACCGATCCCGGACGTATCTTGGATTTGAGTTGGTTTCAGAATCGGATTATACACAAAGTCACCAAGGTGCTTGCGTTCCTTGTGAGCAATGCTGTCGAGCACAGCCTGCGAATTCACCAACTTCTTTGGTTTGGGGATCGCGGGTGGGCTGGGAAGATGTGCTTTCGGAGCCGGTGTCGGTCGAGGTATTTGGTGGTTGTGGGTGGTAAGCGGCATGGTGGGCGACAAATTCGGCGTTCCCGACTTGATGGCCTTGAGCGCATGCAGTGGGGATGCAGTTCTTTCTGGGGCGTGATGGTGATGGTGGTGACTACAAGTTCCCTTCTCAGCACGATGCTGTTTGCCTGTCTTTGGGTCAGCTGGGGATACATACTGCATGTGATGATGGTGATGGTGACCGTGAGTTTTGGGCCTCTTAGTCCCTCTTCCCACCGGTGTGAGCCTGCCAGTACTATCATCATCACCTTTGGCATCCTCATCCTTGGCTTTTCGGTTGCGCTTCCTTGTAGGCTTGGCGGCCGGCTCAACGGTCACCTCTGGCGGTGGAGGCTCAATATCGTCGCGACGAGCAAGCCCCGCATTCGTGAAGGGGTGGCCCCCGGTAGGCACCGGACTCGAGACTCTGATGGTGCCGCTGCCTATGCCAGAGTAAATGCGTCCGAACTCCCTCTTGATCTCAGGCCCAGCCGGCGGTCCTGGTACCTGCGCCTGCGGTCCTTGCACGGGCTGTGGCAGAGGTGAGATGCGTCCCTTACGATTGATCTCCCCAACAGCCAGAAGCCCACCGCTTTGCTGACGAGCTAGACTGGGAGCGACGTGTCCATCTTCCGCGGGTCTATGGCGTCCACCCTCAAAGGGAGTCGTGCCAGGTCCACCATTGTATGCGAGAGACGGAGGAGGAGGCCCCTCCTCGCTAGGACGGGCTCCATGATGAGAATGTGCCTGCTGCTGATGTTGCGGGAGCCCGAACCTGTGCCTCTCGGGGGAATCGTAGGGCGGTCCTGGTTGGCTGGTGGGAATGATATGCGGAGCGGGGCCTTGTTGCGGGTATCGTTCCATGGGTGGCTGTGTGTGAGCAGGATAACCGGCGTACGCTGGTCCTGTCGTCGTAGGTCCGGGCCCAGGCGCAGGACCGGGATACTCGCCGGGCCGCTGCTGCTGCCCCGGATACGACTGGTCATACGGGATTCTCTGAGGCTGCTCAAACCCAGGCCGTTGCTGCCACGATCCTTGATCTCGGGGGTCGGCTCTGGCGTATTGTGGTGGCAGTGCACCCGGTGGACCATGTGGGCCATACTCGACAGGACGCTGGCTGTGTGGTCGTGATGGATCACTAGTGGTCCGTTCTCTCCTGTCCCTCTCGCGCAGTTCCATGTCTCTTTCTCTGTCCATCCGCTCCCGCTCTGCTCGCTCGCGTTCCATGCGACTTTGTTCAGACTGGAAGTGGCGTTGCTGTTGATCTTCGAATCGAGCCCTCTCCAGTCTTTCCCTCTCCCGCCATTCAGCCTCTCTGTCGAACTGTTCTCTTATCTCACGTTCGCGATCTATCATTCGCCGCTGCTCATCGTACGCCATTGCCCGTGGTGGCCGCTCGGGGTTGAACTCCGCTGGTCCCTGTCCTTGCCCCGGCCGCATTTCCTCCCGACGCCCGTAGATGGGCTCGCCTGGCGGTGGTCCTCGTCCCAGCTCGACCGGTCGTCCAGACATGCCTGAATATGCTCGAGGTTGGCTTGATGGCCGCGGCGGCATGCTACCGGTGGACATGCGACTAGGCTGGTCTCTCCTGTCCTCGCCTGTGGTCATGGGAGGGGCGCGCTGCGGGTAAGCCTGAGGTGTCCCATATCTCGAGACTTCAGGGGTTCCGTACATAACCTGAGGGGGAGATCCAGCTGCGCTACCTCTCTGATCTCTGGGATCGTATTGTCTTGTGTGCTCGGGTGGTGTCTGCGGTCTTCTGCCGTATGCATTGTACTCAGCCGACGCGTTCTGCATCCGGGGAGACGGCATGGGGCCTGCGAAGGCTGGCCCCGGTCCGGACCCAGCCGAAGATGTGGCGGGAGGCGGGAACGAGGGATGACCTGCATGACCTGGCGTTGGCTCTCTAGGTGCTGGCGGACCTGACAGCATGGCTGACAGCGACATGCTCCCACCTGTGCTGCCTGTCCTTTGTATTGAGCTGAGCGCAGGCAGCTCTCGACCTGAAGGAAACGTACCCGACGGTCCCATTCCGGGAGGAGGGGCTCTTGGGGCGGGAGAGAAGCCATATTGGCCCATCTGATGGCCCGGGGGTAGATGGGGCTGTTGAGGCGGTGGAGATGGGGGTGCCATGTTGCGACTCAGAGAACCACCGATCGACGAAGAACTCTGATGTCGGACATGAGTCTGTGCAGGATGCGGGATATGCGACGTCGGTTCGGGAGCATACGGTGGTCTCGACTGGTGTTGGTGGAAGTAGGGGTTGCCGTCGGAAGGGCGTCGTTGGTGCTCGGCGTATGGAACACCCGCCGCAGGACTCGCCGAGGATGGATGGGACTGCGGATGCGATGCAGGCGGGTACGGCGCCGGGGTTGTCGTCGAGCTCGAGGTCGGCGGAAACGGTGAGCGTCCGTAGGTTGGTGATGCTACGTTTCTCGAAAAGGGCACGCCCAGTGGCGGCTGCTGTCTGGGATCCATAGCGCGCCGACGTTTTAGCTCGGATTAACTTTGGGAAAATTGCAAAGTGTCCCGGCGAGGATCACAAAGTTGGCTGAGCCCAACGTCTCTGGGGAAGAGTTGACAAGCTCAACAACGGTCGCCAGTCATGAATTCGAGCAAAAAGCACGATCGCGCGTGTGTGTGTGGCGGTTGAGAGCGCAGAGTTGGCAGGTCTTGGGCAAAAGGTTTGAGACTGGGGACGGATAATTCGGCATAGCGCAGAACAACTCATCAAGACCCAGAGAAACACTTGACCGACAGGCACAGCTCGTGCCTTGCAAGACGTCCGTGCAACTCGACGGGGCGGGAGCTTGTTCTGCTTGTGGCCGCTTGTTGCAGTGTTGCATCCTGCTGCGTGACCGCCAACAAGGGTCTGGCATGTAGCGTCTTGGACAACAGCCGGGGCCGTGTGGGCAGACCAGGGGTGCCCTGCAGCTATCGAGGATCAAGCGGAGTAGCCAAAATAGAATAGGGATGGCCGACAGCTGCTATTCGTCCATGCAGCCGTGAACCCTGCTGGGCTGTTGGCGGCTTTGGGGCCGTGGCATGCTCATTGATGACAGCTCGACTCCGATGTTGCTTGGGTCCTGGTTGTTGGGAGCTGGAGCTTGCTTGTGAAAGCACGCACTTTAAAATGGCAAGCACCTGCACAAGTGTAAAAGTGATTGATGGAAGAAACAATGCGACGAGTGGTACGAAGTACTTCGCACAGCAGTTGGGTAACGAGACTAGTCGAGTCAAGAGTGACAATGCCCAAATGAATTCCCAAAATGAGAAACATGAGAAAGATGAACGAGCTGCAGTAACCTTGGACGCGAGCATCGGTCGGGATGATGAGATGAAAACAGAATGACGAATGGCAGGCGTGCGCATGAAGTATCTGACCCCATTCTCGTCAGAGATCCCACTAAAAAAGTCAAGCAAGCACCAAAACACCCTGGGAGGGTAACATGCGCGGGCTTGCATTGTGTTTGTGTTGCCGTTTTCTATGTCGTCCGCAACTTAAGGATACCTAACGTGCTGGAGCATCGTTGTCTGCAAGTGCATCGCATCTCCAAGTCGTTTGTCTGCCGTGGTCGTTGTCATGCATTGGTCCAACAAAACAACGTTGATTCGCAGTGGAGTGCGGGGCGCATCACCATGCTAGATGTATTTGAGGGCGGGTGCAAAGGCGACCAAACCAAGTGCGACTCTCGGCAGCCCGAGTCAAGTCCATTCATGAGCACCTGCCCTCGACCTCGACTCCCACCAACAATAATATGACGAGTTGGTCCAAAGGCCTTCCATCACATATTTTAGAGTTTGAACTTCGGGCCTGATCATGAATCAGATGTTCGGATGGTCTAAAGCCATGCCGTCGCAAGAAGGGTGCGCTTGGGATTTTTGGTGCCAGGAACCAGCATCCAATTCGTCTTCTGTGTCAAACAAAGATGCGCCTTCCATTGAGGATGTCTTACGCCACATCGACATTCCCCACCACAGGAAGTCCTTTAAAACAGGGCCCGTGCTTCCCAAGCATGCGTTTGCATTCCGTCTCTTGCGAAAGGTCATCACTTCGCGATTCTTGTCATCGTCGCCTGCTCCTGAGTCGTCAAGCTTTCGGAACCTCAACCAAGGATCAAATTCCTTCTGCTTCGCACTACTTCGCAGCTATCAGAGATGTTCGTCCCATCATCTGCCGTCCAGCACCATGCATTTTGAGGGTGATACCATCGCTTTTAGGCGGCGTTGACTGCGACCGTGACGCAGTGCTTGCAGTGCTCCTCAAAATTTTTCTCCAAAAACAAAGAAACTCCACATCTGAATTTTGACTTGTTACCCAACCATTAATGGATCCTGGCAGGGGTTCGGAGCGAACAGCTTGCATGCATTCCCTGTCATTCTGCCACCTTGCTTCTAACCCCCTGTACCAAGCAATCAATTACGGGCGAGCTTCGAATGCGCATCTCCAACATCATGGCTGACCATGGAGAAACCTCCATCAATAAAGGCATTCACTGATCTTCTCATTGGCTTTTCCATGCGACCATCACTTTCATGCATATGACATTCTAGTTACGTCTATCGATGGGCGATCCAAGACCATTTCGTCGTTATCGGCTTCGCCTGTCCAGCTTGCTCTGCATGCAATATATTATGCAGCTGCCTCAAACGATTTCTTTCTGACCGCCTTTCGACGGAGGATCCCTGTCCATTATGTGTGTCATGCTCTGGTTATGCGGTCATCGATCATCGCTGCACCCGCACATACATAAGAATGTATGCATGAGCTGTTCGTCCATTTGGTCCACTGATATACGCCAGTTTCCTCTTCTCGCAAACTGTTTCTAGTCCACGTCGCTGACTACCTGTGGTGCATCTCGACAGCAGTTCGTCGCGCTGTCAGATTGACTTTGTGTGCATTTAGGATCAGACAATCTCCGGACCGGGTAAACCCCCGCTATGGCTGAGGGGTACGCAATGCCCAACTCAACTCAACCCTCATGACTTTGATTACCGAACGAACGCACTCATTTGCACCGATGATCTCGTCTAGTTGTGGTTGCTTCTAGATCATGAGCATAAGGTGGGATTCGATGCGAGGTCTGATGATACATCCTCCAAGTGTTCCAGGGTGGAATGTGCATTATTGCATCGTCTGTTTGACTCAGGTGGCCGCATACACGTACTCACATCATCCACAACAATCGTGCTGATCGGCTACCAAATAGGATGCGGGTTTAGCTGGAGCGTTGTAATAGGCTTAACCGTGAATATAAGGTCGCAGTCTAACAGCTATCGTCAAGTATGGAACCAGCCAGCATATGAAAATCGCTAATTTTGCCACCAGCTTTCAGCTCGGGGAGTTACACGTGAATCCAGGCCATGCCATGGCGAGATGAAAAGGGCCTAGGGAGTTCGGGTTGCAAAAACCGAAGTACGCCGGCTTGGATCAAGATTATTCTAGCTACGGGGATAAAGTCAGGATCTACGACAAACCCTTAAATACTGTCGATCTAGAGTACTTGTGTAGAGGCAGTTAGTACTTTCGTCTTCTTCATGAATTTTCGCATGAATAACATCTATCAATCAGGCCAAAAGCTGGCATTCCAGTGCTGGTTCAGGACTCTTCAACTCCCAATAGAGAAGATTGCGCCTTTTGATACGGCCGTGTGTATCCTGGTCGATCTGACCTCACAGGACTCAAGTCACGAATATCAGGATTGATTTCGTGCCAAGTCAGTTGTGTGGTTCAGATCTCTTTTGATGGTGTTCTTTCTAGAAAGCTCAGCTATTTCCGAAGCTACGAAATGTTGATTAAGAGCAACGATGTAGCCAATCAGATCCTCTGATTTGGATCCACAGCCGTATGTCTGTGGAAGCATAGGTAGAACGTAGCAGGGCCCGTACATACAAAGGGTGCTCAAAGACCCTGAAGCCGTCATATCGAATTTATAACTACCCCGTACCTATAAGAAGCCTGTATTTCCCTGTTGGCAAATCATATTAGCCGCGATATGAAGTTAAGTAACCAATACCGAAGACATAAGGGAGCTAGCAAAAGGCCCTAGGTCTCATGTATCAAACCGAGACAACATTACAGGTGTCTGGCAAGCTGCAAGACATAAAACGTGTACCGTAACGTATCATGTGGAACTCATGAATGATAAACCAGTATGCTTTGTGGTACCACGGGGATTTTGCACGTTCCAGGCGTTGCCTATGAAATATTATTTTTGTCTTTCGACACACATGTCGTTCTGTACTTGGAATATACTTGAGGGTCAGGCGTAGTCTAACCCGAGTCTTTTAACTTATTCGCCATAGTCCGCTTGCTTTATTTTGGTCTCTCGTTGTTATATAGTAGAAGCAGGAGATCCAGCAACCCATCTTTCGAATTGGGAAACAAAAGATTAATCTCGCCCCTTTTCATTATTCAAGCGAAGCACAATGATCCACGTGCTTGGCCAAAACATGCCTTGAATCACGAATGATCATATAATTACGAGATCTGACCATCTTTACCATCGGGTTACTCTGTTTTTGTCGCTCTTGTCACGAGAATGACCTAATGGGACTCATCTGGACTCTACTCTACAGCATCTACGCTTGACCATCACCCAATCAAATCTGACACGCCTCGCTTCTACGATCATGTAAATGATGAGGAGGTATAAGCCCAAATACTGAACGTAGCATGATACATGTCAGCGTTTGTTTCCCATAATGTGGGATAGCGAAATATGATTTACAGGGCAGCGTGTGTCCACACAAAGTCCATGGCCGCAAAAGGTTTGGCCGCAACAGGCTCAGCCGGGGGAAAAGCCATTATGTCTGTAACAAGACTTAAATTTGTTGTAAGAAGGCCCCCTTCACAAGAATGAGGCGGAACACCTTCCGCATAGGGAGTTACAGGAGTTGCTAAGTGAGGTACAGAAGTAGTGGAGGGGGGCTTTGGGGACAGTGGTAGAGCATTTCATGTAAATAAATGATGAACGCCTTGCGGCTATACGTTGGTATAAGGAGTACGATAATTATTCTAGGCGAGAACAAGGGTCAGAACCCTTACTATACTAACCTAGTGAGTCAAGGTTAGCGTGGATTAACACTATTACTCTTATAATTCTCCAGAGTTTAGTTAAACTACTCTGGACGCTAACTGCCTACCAAGGGGCTACCAACGACGAAGAACTACCTACTACTAGGCACTGTTAACAACCCCCCCCCCCCCCCCCCCGTCTACCCCTTACTACTCGTTGTTAGAGTTCTCGATAAGGACCTCGAAGTGCTATAGAATGTGTAAGGGTCAAGGGTAATGTCGATGCAATTAGCCTAGCCTACTCTACGAGTACTATCCATCTATGAAGAGAAAAACATTAGATACATTCAGTGTGGTGAACCCTTCTCCCTTTTATCCTTCTGTCCTCCCGTCTCGTCGTTTCAGGATTCGAGAAGTGAAGCTTATTCGGAGATTTCTGTGGGTCTTTCTGGCCGAAGGCGTCGCAGAGGCCACATACCGGTCATAGACCGTGACAGAACTAGTGTTCTGCTGCTCCGATAAGCGGGCTCTACTACTCCAAATACGGGCTCTGGTTATCTATGTAAGGGAGGTATCTTAGAGGGAGGTAGGAAGAAGGTTAGAGATCAATGAACTACTCCAGGCATCCCTACCTGAGACTACTAGTGACCGCTAGTGACCACCCGGTGATGACTAATAGGGACGCCTAATA